TACCTCAGCTTCCCAGGTAGAGGTGATCACAGGCCTGCCCCTCTATGCCTTCATGATGGAAGCATCTATCATGCATAGAACATGTCTCAGGGGTTCTCTGAAACATGAAGTGAGGAGCAGGTATAAGTGAAACGAGATCAGGAAGCCAGGAGAGTTTGGACTGCACACACTAGTTTTAAAATTGGACACAGAAGGAGACAGCGGTGGTGTGAAGGACTTAGAGAGGAAGTTCAGAAGGAATGGGGGACACTTGAGAATGTTGGTTAGTCCTTGGAGCTTCAAGAATCCCCTACACTTCCCTGTCCCACCCTCCCCTGCCATCAGTGTGAAGCCAAGTACATACCCAGAGTTTCTTGGAGAACACACTAATGAAAGGCCTCGTTTTGATTGGTGCTAATTTAGGTTCCCTAGTCTTTGATAAGATCACTGTGCTTTAAGGGGTCCCAAAAGGACCAAAGACGAAGAGACAACTTGTCACGAAACGTTATACGGTAGTGAGCAATGGAAACAAATATCACCCACAGATGCATTTTTGCCTTCTCCCCTGCTCAGTGTTCTGTCTGCCATGCAGGATGAGAGGAGAGATGGCTTGAGAATCTAAGCTATGTCTCTATGGTGAGTTAGAAATGCCTGAAATACCAGTCCCTTACAATAATTAAAAGATGGAAAGCTGTAATTAGATTTCACACACATACTGCATGACCTGGAAACCTGGGATGCAAACAGCAAACAGGATGCAAGCTCCTAATAAACCCAGTCTCTCATGCACTTCTCCAGAACACACATAAGGTGCACATGAATTTTGCTAGGCATGGGAGTTGGGAAGATGGTCAATTCTTATTTCAGAGCCGGCTGGTCTTTCTCTTTATAGGAATAGAATGGAAGCCCCAGTGGAGGTAAACAAACACAGGACGACCAACCAACAGGCAAGTAGAAATGACAGCCACATGGCAGTAAGTTCTAAGCACTGCAGCACTGTGGTGCCAACCATGAGGGCAGGAGTGTCACAGCAGGCTTGAGATTGAGAGAACTTCTGTGATGAGCAGGTCTCAGCAGCAGCGAGGCTCACAGGGCAGGGATGGGCAGGAAAGGGGGGATCAGTCCCCAAGACAGGAGTGAGCAGCCACAGGTTGATTCTCAGAGGCTGAGGTGGGAACAATCCTCAGTTTACAGCAGGAGCATTGAGTTTCAGGTGCCAGACTGGGGAAACTAGGACATGTATATCCTCAGATGGACCCTGATTGACTGGGCATGTGAAGAGTAGGGGCCAATTAGAAGAGAGCCTGCCAAGCCAGAGAAGAAACAACTCAAACCTTCCAGGGCCAGGGAGGGTCTCAATCATGACTATGGCTCCATTCCTTCCCATCCCTTGGTGTTGTAGAGGAAGGTGGGAGTGAGTAAGGAAACCCTCCAGCATGACTAAAGATGGGGTTTTTGCCTGGGTTCCTAGGAATCTTTTGGGGGTCTGGGCTCCTGTTGCTGGTGCAATGCTCCTCCTGCTATCAACTGCAGTCCCCTGTCACAGGAGCCCCTAATGACTGGAATACCTGAGGAAGGAAGCTCTGCCTGATGATTTGGGTTCAGTCCCCAGTACCCACATGCTTGAAGGAGAGAACTCGCAAATCTGACCCCCTCCTCATGTATGCTGTGGCACACTTAATTACACAGAAAGATACACACAGAAGTAAACTCTAATTTTTAAAATCTGTAGTTTTGAGGATTGACACTACTTCCTGTTAGTTTATACACAGACACACATACATATATACAGAAACAGACATACACATACACACACCGTAATTTTTAAAATCTATAGTTTTGAGGATTGACACCACTTCCTGTTAGTTTATACACACACATATACACATACACACAGAGAGAGAGACAGACAGACACACACACACACACACACACACACACACACACACACACACACCATAATTTTTAAAATCCGTAGTTTTGAGGATTGACACCACTTCCTGTTAGTTTGTACACACACACACACACACACATACAATACAGAGAGAGACAGACAGACATACAGACACACAAAGAAAAAGATACACACACACACACACACACACACACACACACACACACACTGCTGGCAAAGGTAACAGCCTGGAATGCTGATAGAATGAACATGGATGACGTTAATGATGGATAGGAAGATCTCTCATCTACTTTAATAACAATTTTTTAGTCCCAAGGAGGAAACAGCCATAATAGCTTTTACAAATTTTGATCTTGACAAAGCCTTCTTATTACAACAAGTTTAAAAAAAAACTGTTTTTAATGAAGTTAGCCAGAATAATGAAGTAATCCAACAATAAACAGGACTTACTCTTCAATCCACAAATATGAATATCCAGCTCCGTATGCTCAACACCCTAGCCTGAGCTTTGTGTGGGTGGCTCTCCCCTTGCATGACCAAAACCTGGCAGGCATTTAAGTTCTGCTAAGCTTTCCACCACTTGCTGGAGATGCAGAAACACCCTCAGTGTCTCTTACAAAGCCTGCAAACTCCAGGCATCAAAGGGTGAGAGAATTCCTTTGCTTTTCATCACATCTTCATCAAAATCTACTTGCAGAGGGGCAGAAGAACTTATGTGGACTTACTGTTGTAGTCCATCGAGAAGGGAAAACAGGCAGGAACCTGGAGGTAGGAGCCAATGTAGGGACCATGGAGGAAAGTTGCTTACTTGCTTGTTCCCTGTGGTTTGTTCAGCCTCCTTTCTTACACAGCATGACACCTGCTCACAGTGGGCTGGGCTTCCCATATCAATCACTAATCAAGGGAAAATGCCCACAGGCTTGCATGCAGGCTAAACCTGATGGGGGCATTTTTTTCAATAGAGGTTCCCTCTCCCCAGATGACTCTACTTTGTGTAAAGTTGACAGAAAAATAATAGTTACCTCTGCAGGATGGGCTGATGGAATGTAGTAATCCCATCAGCCAACCACAAGGTCTCTTTCTAGCTCTGCTGTACACACAGAGTTTGAGCAAGTTGGTTCCATGCTTCACACGGCCTCCTCTCCCAACTCACTAGAGTCTGCTGGGGTTCTTCTGAATAACCAACAGAAGGCAACAGAAGCATAGAGGACACAACCACACTCATGTCCCGATCTCTCATGATACAGTAAAGCTTCCTCAGCTGTCCCCATGATACAGTAAAGCTTCCTCAGCTGTCTCGATCGTCTTCCTTGTCTTTCTCCTCCCCTCCCTTCTCCTGCCCCTCATCCTCCTTTACTGCTCTGTTGCTGTGATAAAACATTGACCAAAATGACTTAGGGGAGAACAGTTTTCTTTGTTGTTGTTTGTTTTGTTTTCGTTTGTCTTTGAGGGAATGCCAGCACAGCTTGTTTCAGTCCCACACTAGCTACAGAGGCTATCTGTTCCAGACTGATGCCTCTCGGGCTGAGATCAGGGCCAACCGAATGGCCCCAGGTCCATCCCTGAGTCAGGGTGAGGGTGGGTTGGGGGTGTGAGTGCTGGACCCAGAAACTCCTAGCTACCCAATGGCAATCAAGACAAGACACAGGCATCTTGTCATTTCAGGAGGGTTCTCAGTCCATCCTGGAAACTGTAGTCTCTGGTTTATTCAAGCATCCTCCTAAATAGCTTTCCAACAATGGAGGTGACCTCAGAAGGCATCTACTATCATGTATATAGCTGACATCAAGTAATTCTTTTAATTCAAGAGTCACCTAAACAGTCCATAGGCACATAGACAAAAAACCTCAGGACAGGTTTGGGTACACCTAGGGCCTAGGTCTGTAGTTATGCAAACTAGGAGACATTCTCCACTGAGGCCAGGCCACCCAATGGCAATTTAGCCAGCACCTGAAAGATAATGGGAGATTCAGGCTCCTGGAAAATGGAGTGGAGGTTTGGACCCCAAGAAACTTTATAATCGATAATTTTTGGTCCCTGACAGAGGGAGGCCAAGGCAGGAACTGAAGCAGGGACCATGGGGAAGAGGATCGTTGGTTTGTTTGGGGCTCACCTGGCCTTCTTTCTTGCACAGCTCAGTCCTTCCTGCCCAGGAGTAGCTGGGACTTCCCACATCCATCCTCACTGAAGAAAAGACTCTGCAGACTTGCCTACAGGCAATCTGATGGGGCTAACTCCTCAGTTGAGATTCTGTCTTACACGTATGTTAGGCTTGTGTTGACAAAAACAAACAATACACTACCCCCCCCCCCCCCCCCGTGAGTGTGTGTGTGTGTGTGCACATGTGCACGCGTGCTCGCTCATGTGTATATCTATCTATCTCTGTCTCTCTGTCCATCTTTCTCTATCTCTCCCTCTCTCCGCCCTCCTCTTTCCCTCCCTCTCTCACTTTCAGACTTTACCATTCACATTCAATCCTCAGACCCTTCCTATGGATGGTCACAGGAATTAAGGTCATTCCCACACCCCATGCTTCTACTAGCACACACCCAAAGAAATGAGAAGAAATCCTTAGTGTTCAAAACCATCATAAATGACTGAGGTATATGCCAGCCACCGTGCAAACATTCTCACAAGGAGCAAATATGATTTAGTTGAATGGGTATTAATTCAGGTACTACTGTTACTGTTTGAATTGAAACACACACACACACACACACACACAGACACACACACACACACACACACACACACACACACACACACATACACACACACACACACACAAGCTCCTGTTTGAGGCACTTGTCTCCAGGTGGTGGCAAGTGTTTGGGGGAGGCTATGGAACCTGCCTGGCAGGTACTAGAAATGGGCTGTGGAGGGTTATAGGTAGCTCCTCTTTCCCATCATGCACTCTGCTGGTGTGAACTGTCTCCAGGTCAGCACTGCTGTGAACTATCTCCATCACGTGCTGCTTCTATGGAGAACTAAGCTGCCCCACCGTGAGGGGCCTGAAACCCCTGAGACCATGAGTCGAATCAAACTTCCCTGGCCTGGAGTTATTTCTGTCAGGCCATCTGGCCACAGCAATAAGCAGGTGATGATCAGGGGTGTGAGACATTTATTGTATTAAATGCACTTTAGATAGGGCTGGTCTACATCACGGCAGAGTTAAATCTTCATTCTTGATAAATATTCAAAGTGATTTGTGAAGCAGAAAGCTGCTGAATAAAAGATGAAGGACCAGGGCGCACATAAAGTAGTCAAACAAATCACACGAAGCATGCATCTATCAACACACTGAGGAGGCTGCAAATCCTACACTAATGTTATTAGCAGGAGAGTGGGAACAAAAGAAACATCTCCATTGTCCTATCCAGGTGGTGGACTTGGAAGTGAAGACTCCCTGTGTCATTTTCCAAAAATTCGAGAGTCGTCTTCTTCATCTTCTAAATCTGTATATTCTTTCATGAGATCCCACAGAACCCTTGAAAGAGACCAGAAATAAATGCAAAGGATTAGAAGAAAAATATATACACTGGGGAGAAAAGAACAAGTCCCAGTAAGCATCCAATTTAGGACACATTTACCCAAACAGATGAAATTGCAATCAACAAGTTTTGTTTTTAGTAGTTTTGTTATCAATGCTTTGGCCTTGAATGGCATGGGGCTTCTCTGTTATCTGAGGGGTACCTCCTACAGCATCTTCCGGGCTAACAATACTGTGCAGATGCCGTACCTTCTAGCACATACATTAGCCAGACTGGAGAAGTAGCTTCCCAGCTGGGGCTGTGCAACCCTTACTGATGGGGAATGTACTGTGTATGTTTATCTTATTGATTGTTAAATAAAATACTGTTTGGACAATGAGACAGCAAGTAGATGGGACTAGGAGTCAGAGAGGATTCTGGGAAATGTAGTAGAGAAGTGCTGATCCAGGCAGGAAATGACATAGCAAGGAGACTCATATTTAAGGGAAGGAGAAACAGGAAGGCCCTTTTTTCCCGGTCGCCTCCTCCAGCGGCAGGATGTGAGCCACCGACAAGGAGGGACGCCAATAAGGCATCCGATAAGTTTTATAAAATATATAGATTTATGATAATTGAGACTGAGCTAACAGATGAGAATCCTAGTCATTGGCCAAGCAGCATTTGTACCTAATACAAGTTTCTATGTATTCATTTGGGCCTAACATGGGCTGGCGGCTGGCGTAAAGCTCACACGTGGCGGTGGGGCTCAGCGGCTTTTGGTGGAAAGATTTATTGTGACACCTTACTATCCTTTGCTGACTTCCAGTGTGATATAAGGAGCTGAGAGAGCGATCCAGGCTCTCAACACACATTCCTCTACCACATGAGAGGGAAAGTGTGGCCTCTGTTTTCTGTCCTTCTCTACAACTGCAGGCTAATGCTAGCCAGAGACCTGTGTGAGGAAGTCCCTGAAAAGGGCCATCTTTCTACACCAGACAAAATAAATGAATAAGCCTCAGAGAGAAAGCGACTGCCTGTTTGTCCTTTGCCTTGGAACACAGACCCGATGCCGAAAAACAGCCACAGTGGGACCCCATGAAGAAACCCACAATTCATAGGAAGTGAGGAAGTAGGGCTACTGAGCCCAGGCCATGGTGCACATGTGGAGGTCAGAGGACAACTTGTGGGGGTCAGTATCAAACTCAAGTTAATCAGCTTAAGGGACAAGTACATTTGCCCTTTGAGCCCCCTCACTGGGCCCCATTTACTTTTTAAATTGCAAGTTTAGATGTGTATGGGGTTTCTTCAAGTTTTCACCACAATTAAAATCCTTGCAATTTGAGCAAAGAATGCCACCCGAAGCCACAGGCTACCCACATATTCCTGGTCTCTACCCCTGAGAATTTACCCCAATCCTTTAGCTTCTTCTGATGGAAATGTTTGTATATTGGTAGAGAGAATGTACCTGTTGATGTCTAGATCTGCAACTGGTCACACAAGACAATGCACGAGTGTTGACAGCCAGCACTCATAAGGGCTGTCAAAGCATGAATGGCATCACTCCAGCTTTTTTTACCACAGTATCTGCCATAGGGCTGGGGAGATGTCTCAGTGGGCAGAGCACATGCCATGCAAATGTAAGGGCCAGAGTTCATATGCCCAGAACCCATGTAAATGCCAGATGGGCATGGAGGCAACCTGCCTGCCATCCCAACACTCAGAAGGTGGAGACAGGATCCCTAGGGTAAGCTGCCTAATGAGACCAATCATATCAGTGAGCTCTGGGTTTGGATGAGAGACTCTGCCTCAATGAATAAGACTGAGAGAAAATGAGAAAGAATCCCCACGTTAACCCAGGCCTCCATGTGCACATGAGGGCACGTCCACACCTGCACACACGTGTGCCCACAGATATGTAAAAGCACGTCCATGCACACACACCACATACATACATATTGTAGAATACAGTATCGATGCTTACTGCCTCTCTTCTTCTTCCATCTTACTCTTTTTTACGAGCTGCTTGACATGGTTGTCGATAGCCTGCAGGGATTTAAAAATCCTTCAGTCATCTAGAGCACCACGATCTTGGTTATGTATAATGACAATAAGAATGGAATCAGAATTGGTGGCTCTGTCGGGTACAGACAGCACTCCAACCACACCATGCACAGCTCAGAGGCACACACAGCCCAGGTGTGTTACCTCTCCTTGTCTGACTATTGTCTGAGTGCATTTAAAGTGTTCCACTTCTTGTTGCTGGCTGGCTGTATTGTTCATTGTTCTGCATGGTGAGGTGTGTGGGTGAGTTAGAGGAGCAGTTATCCTTGGAATTCTCCGTCATCACAATGTAGAGTGTTTTCACTAAGGTGCTTGCTTAGGAGAGTCCAGCTCCAGGCTGAGGTCTGCACAGCCAGACTCAGCTAACCCAGAAGAAAGCTATTCCACACAAAGAAAGCAAGTGTTTCTATGTGACTTACAACACAGGCAAGCAGACACTTTGGGAGATGTTTCTATAGATAAACAACTGGTTTGCATATTAAAAAGACATCTTACTTTTATTTTCTTCCTTAAGATTCTGTTTGCTGTTTCCAATTTTATAGTTTCATTCTGAAAGCAAATGGTTTTAAAAGGGAATTTTAAAGGAAATGGCAAAGACTTTCTATTTATGAAATTAAAATAGTGTTATGAGACTGGGGTGGTCATAAGTTTAAGCATGCTCAGTACACATCACTTTAAAATAGACATTTACTCCTGTCAGGGAAGCAGGTAGACTAACTACGGATCTTCACTTCTCCCTCTGTACCCACAAATCCAACACCCACAGTCTCATCCCCATCTCTGTCACACACCACTTGAAGCAGCCTCATCCCCCTCTATTTCTGTCTCTGTCTGTCTCTCTTACACACACACACACACACACACACACACACACACCCACACTACCCTACTCATCTCCAGAGGCTCACACAGACCTTCCCCTCCTCTAGAGGCCCAGAGTTTCCAGTACTCATGTCAGGCAGCTCACAACCACCTCTAATTCCAGCTCCAGGGAATACAACACCTCTCCCAGCCTGCCTTTGTAAGCACCTGTACACACAACATGAGTGCAAAGGGTGCACAAGCTTGAACTTCCAGGTGGCTGTACTGAACAGTTACAGGAACAGAGGTATAATACTGTGTTTGGTTGAGAACTTACATACCCACCCATGGTTTAGAGCAACGCCACCCTACTATGCACTTTGTAATTCTTATTGTGCATTAAAAAACAACAACGAAACAAACAAAGAAAAACAGCACCGCTAAAATACATGGAACTAGCCACAAGAGGCCCTATTATGTCACATTTCACACAAGCTGTGAGCAGTATCTGCATGTGCCAAGCTCTCACCAGGCCCCACAGACTCATGTCACCTTTGTTCTTGTTTTAGCTGAGCCTCCATAGCTCTATGAAACCACATACACCTTTTGAAGTAAAAGCACATTTTGGACTAAGCTTCATTGGATTTTTACCCTGTCACAGGATCAAACTGTTTTGAGGACATCTTTAAGCAAAACAAATGTAACTATTCACACAGATAATGTACATACCTCTACACTTTTAATCCCATTCTCTGTGATATCCGACACTCTGGAATGCACCATTGTTTCCTTAATGTGTTTTTCAAGTGCTTTAATTTCATCCCATTTTTCCATGATTTCACATCTCCTCTTCTCAACCTTCTCAATCAGGGTGAGTTTGTCCTCATCATTTCTGCTTCTATGAAAAGATTCTGGAAGTAGTTTTGAAAGCGGTTACTATGTTTATTATCTCAACAGTGTTATGTGTAAGGATGTCATCTAAGTTACATATAATAATTATATACATATATATATATATATATATATATATAATATATACATATATATAAAACTGTAGTGTAACTCAAGCATATTAATAAAAATTAACTGTTCCAAGGAAATGGGGTATTCCTCTCCATGTAGTCACATAATCTGTAAATACCAGTGGATGCCTAGTTTTGCAGATTCCAGGCTAGGTAGAAAGGGACAGTTGTGAATGATGGCCAGACTCTCTTCCAAGTTAGCTTTCTTATTGCACATGCTGGTAAGAAACTACATGAAAATGATGGAGGGGACAGTGCCCTGGGGAGACCCAATTGAACACCACACAGTTTGGTTCAGGGTTAAGGAGAGTCTGCCAAAGACTGAGGAATTTAGTGCTGAAATGTGAACAGAAATTAGGTAGGCATATGGTGAGGGAGGGAAAGGAGGTGGATTGAGACACTTAGAGAAGATACTAGAAGGACAGCAGGTGACTCTGGAAGGCACTCACCTGATTTTTCTTTAGCAGATTGCAACAACACGCTCTCTGACTCCAGTTCATTTCTGAGTCTAAAAATCAATAGGAAAGCAGTCACCAAACAGCAAGCCTTGGTTGGGCCTTGTTGATTCTGTCCATTTTATAACACAAGCCGTGTGTGTGTGTGTGTGTGTGTGTGTGTGTGTGTGTGTGTGTGTGTGTGCATGAGTGTGAACACACTTGTGTAATCCAGAGTGAATGTGCTGTAGCATGCATACCTGTGGAGGTCTGGGATGGATGTCAAGCATCCTCCTCAATCGCTCTCTACCTTATACTTTTGAGACAGGGTCTCTCACTTGAACCCAAAGCTAAGCACTTGGCTTGTCTAGCTAGCCAGATTCCCTGGAGGATCATCTGCCTCCACCTCCTACAAGTTATGTAATTTTTGTTTGGTTGCTTCATCATATGGACCACACACATAGTGTGTACCCACAGGGAATACTGCAGTGACTCCTCGGTCAGTGTTATCCCCTGAGCATAGCACATAGGCTCAGAGCCCAAGCTAGACACATGCTGCATGACACTCTGAAGCAGGTCCTGTCCCCGCCCACTCCCCACTCCTATCTAAATCTGACACCAAGTATAACACAGTCTACAAGGATTCATTCCTTCTACTGTCCTTGAAGGATGTGTTGCTTCTTCTCTGGGATTCATAACTAGCAAATTTCCATTATTTTATGGCTTGTCTGGGTTACCTCTCCTTGTCTGACAGGGCCACACACCTGGACCTAGTCAGAGCCTCTAAGGGAGTGACTATCTTCATGGAAAGAAGTTGACACAGATCAGACTATATATGTTATACTACAAATGTTTAAAAGCTGTCTGTGAGGGACACATGGCTACAGGTGGCACTTATACATTAGGCCTAACCCTGAAGAATTATCTGCAAGGCACACATGATTATCCACAGCCAATCCTCCATGTCCTTGGGGAAGGCAGGAGCTTATGGTAGCCATGCCATGAGAAAACTTTGGACCAAACTACAGTGAAAGACAATAGCTTTCTCTCTCTGCTAACATTGATAGCAAAGTCATTTTTTTGCTTCTGAGGCCTTTTTTTGTTGTGTTGGTTCAGAATTGCTATAGTCTATAGCGTTTTGTGTGTTAATCCTTACAAATAACATGCTCTGCCCAAGGATGACTTCACTCTGTACAACTGCTTAGAATGTTTCTTGGTTAGGGTTTCCATTGCTGTGAAAAGACACTATGGCCATGGCAACTCTTATTAAGGAAAAACATTTAATAGGGGCTTACAGTTTCAGAGATTTAGGCCATTTTCACCATGGTGTAACACGGTGGCATGCAGGAAGACATGGTGCTGGAGAAGTAGACGAGTGTCATACATCTTGACTTGCAGGCAAGAGGAAGTAGTCTGTCTCACTGGGAATGGCTTGAGCACATATGAGACCTCAAAACCCACCTCCACAGTGACACACTTCCTGTAACAACACCACATCTACTCCAACAAGGCCACACCTCCTAATAGTGTCACTCTCTTTGTGGGCTATTTTCTTTCAAACCACCACAGAGAGGTTACAGGATCTTCTCAGTTAATAAAATCAGAAGGCTCTCTCTGGCCCTGCTACCCTCGGTTCCATCAGTAAGTCCTCAAGGAGGGTCCTTCAAAGACCTCTAAGAGGCTTGCCATGAGGTACTGTATTTGGTCCAGCACCATAGTCATACATGCAGTTGTTTGTGGATGAGGTCAGGTTAACAGGACAACATTGGTACACTTACTACGCCATATATAACAACAAAGCAGAAAATTGAAGGTAACTGCTCTGTAGGAAGGTAAGGCCTACCAGACTGAGAGATGAACCAACCTGGAGTTTGACAGTTGCTGTCAGTAAGCCTGATCCTGTCCACCAATGAGGGGCTACCACACAATTCTGCCTGAGGCTCTAGCAACAGGAGCTGTCAGGGGTCCTGATCCGGACTGTGCAAGGTCAACAGATCAGAACACCTGGGTGCTGGAAGAGTATGTAAGTTTGTATCTGTTCCTAAATAAAGGAATCTGTTTTTCCTTTCACCTGACTTCAGATGTCTGCATCGTTGACTTCTTACCCCCTCCCCCGAGGGAGCCCTTAGGACAGAGCAACACTGTTCATCACAGTATTATCTTGTTAAGTATGGATGGAAACTTAACCAGAATCATGCCCTTGGTGCCTTACCTGTTATTGTGCTGCAGGGCGGCCACAGCAGCCTGTTGGAGCTTCCTCAGCCTCTCCCTGGCTTGGTCAATGTCTGTGCTGTGCACAGGGCTCTTCTCCAACCCCTTGACTTCAGCCAGTAGCCGCTGCCAGGAACAAGGCACACAAAGGGTAAGATGATCAGATAGACTGTAGGGTTCTCTGGTCTGTTACTCATGTATGGCCCAAGTGTACTGGGGTAAAGTGTAAATTCCAACAAAAATGAGAGCATGGGTGGGGGAGGCTGGAGGGAGGAGGAAAATAATTTCTGAATAAATTAATTTTCACAATAGTTCAAGATTTTATCTTCCTAAGGATTCTTTTTTATTTAAATTAGAAACAAGCTTATTTTACATGTCAATACCAGTTCCCTCTCACTCCCTTCCTCCTCCACCCCTCACTGACCCCCTATCCCAACCCCTTTCTGCTCCCCAGGGAGGATGAAGCCTTCCATAGGAGATCTTCAAAGTCTGTCATATCATTTAGACCAGGGCCTAGACCCTCCCCTGTGTGTCTAGGCTGAGAGAGTATCCCTCTATGTGGAGAAGGCTCCCAAAGTCCATTTGTGTACTAGGGATAAATACTGATCCACTACCAGTGGCCCCATAGATTGTCCAGACCTCCAAACTGACTTCCTCCTTTAGGAAGTCTGGAACAGTCATATGCTGGTTTCCCAGCTATCAGTCTGGGGTCCATGAACACTCCTTGTTCGAGTCAGCTGTTTCTGTGTGTTTCTCCAGCCTGGTCTTAACCCCTTTACTCTTCACTCCTCCCCCTCTCTGCCACTGGATTCCAGAATTCAGCTCAGTGTTGAGCTGTGGGTGTCTGCGTCTGCTTCCATCAGCTACAGGATGAAGGTACTAGGATGGCATATAAAGTAGTCATCAATCTCATTATCGGAGAAGGGCATTTAATGTACCCTCTCAACTATTGCTTAGATTGTTAGTTGGGGTCAACCTTGTAGATCTCTGGACATTTCCCTAGTGCCAGAATTCCCTTTAAACCTATAATGGCTCCCTCTATGATGCTATCTCTTTTCTTGCTCGCCTCTATTCTTCCCCTGACTAGATCTTCCTGTTCTCTCATGGCAGGGTCTTTAGTTGTTTCCTTGTGGAGCTGAGTTGGGGAAACAAAGAATAAAGGGCTAGGTACATCATCATCAAATATGTGATAGACAATCTAAATCACCAATCTTTATGTGGACACAAAGACAGTGGAGCTCATGCTGGGTGACAAGGTCCTTCGCCCCATTAGGTGGTCATCTGGCCTTCAGGAATTTCGGAAAGACAGAGCCCTGGAAACCTGCCAGTTCCCTCTTTTGGGGTTTGATTGAGATGTGGGCATGGGTTTTGCTTTTGTGCTCCATCTCCGAGTAAGGAACAGAGTGACTGCAGGCACTGCCCAGTCCTGATTGTTGATTAATTGATTGATTGATTGATTGATTGATTGATTTAATCTTTATGTGTATGCATGTTTTGTCTGCATGTATGTTGTTTCACCACATGCATGCTTAAAGCCTGTGGAGGTCAGAACAGAGTGTTAGATCCCCTGGCACTGGAGTTACAGATGTTTGTGAATCACCATGCAAGTGCTAGGTACCAAACCTGAGTCCGCTGCAAGATAAACCAGTGCTCCTAACTGCTGAGCTGTCTCTCCAGACCCTCAAAATTTATTATTACACAACATGGAAAGTCTCAGAACACAGAATGCAATGCCCACAGGTGGTGTTTTATTAAGATCTAATTGAGAACTGGCTTTGAATGCTATAGTATATATATACATACATACATACACACACACACACACACACACACACACATATATATATATATATATATATATATATATAAGAAATTGCATTTTCGATTCACAAGATAGTTAGTAATTTCAAGGTGCCAGCTTCTTGAGCTTTTGGAGCTGTCACTCCCATGGGACACTTCTTACTAGAACAACACATGCCGCCCCAGTAATCCTACAGAGACCAGTGGGAAAGCTCTCCTCAGTTCCATGAGGAGACAGTGATCTGTGTTGTGGCCTAGGTACACCCGCTGTGGCAATCTACCCACTCAGGGTAACAATAGGTGCTATTTTCTGATAATCACTGCAATACCATTTATGTCCCTAGTCATGTGTGGTGGCTGTGGTTAGGGAATGACCCAGTGCTGTATTAATGTACAGGAAAGATCTTCACTCATATACTTTAGCTTGATATAAAGATCATCCCTTTAAAAATGCACCAGTTATTTTTCCTGACAGAGTGTAGATGGAGTTTCTGTCCCACGTGGTCCTGCAGCCATTCAGCCCCAAATAAACACACTGGCACTTATAATAATTATAAACTGTTTTGCCAATGGCTCAGGCTTCTTATTGGCTAGCTCTCTCTTAATTATTAACCCATTTCTATTGATCTAAGTATTTCTACATGGTCTTATCTTCCTGGAGAATGCCCGGGGCCTCTTGCTCCCTTAACAGCTACATGGCATCTCTCTGATAGCCCCTGTTTGGGTCTTCTCCCCAAAATTCTCCTTGTTTGGTAGCCCCATCCATACTTCCTACCTGGCTACTGAGCAATCAGTGTTTTATTTGTCAACCAATAAGAGAAACATATATACAGAAGGGTATCCCCCATCAACAGAGGAACAAATGGGGCTTCCCAGGTTGAGAGCATCCTACTGCTCCTGAAAGAGGAAACCATGAGCATACAGACTTGCTCTGTGCCTTTCCTGGTGGTTATTACCTTATACTGTGCTGTGGGCTGTGAGTCTAGAAGAGCCGCCATGTAGAGTTCATATTCATCCTGTGCAAAAGCAAACAAAAAACAAAACAATGTCACTAGATGCCAGATATAAGGGCTTGTGTATGGGGTGGGGTACATGAATGTGTACATATATGTGCACAGGAGCCCACATGTGCACACAAGGGTCAGAGTTGACATCAGGCATCTTCTTCTATCTCTGCCTACCTTGGGCTTGCTCACTGATTGGCTAGACCTGCTGGCCAGCAAGTCTGGGATCCTCCTGTGTCTCTGCCTTGCCCCAGCACTGAATTCAGATACATATCACAACACAGAGATTTTATGTGGGTGCTGAGGTTTGAAACTCAAGTCCTGCAAGCACTTTGCCCACTGAGTTATGCACCCAGCCCCAAGGATTATTTTTTGCATGCATAAACACCTTAGGTATTAAGGGTGTCAGTTAAAACCACTTGTAACGTGAAGTGTATAAACTGTCCCAGCAATGTGCTAAAATGCACACACGCACAAATTTATAACATTGAATTGACGTTGAATCCTAGTTTGACTACCAGCTACTGATCAGTTCAAGATGCTGTGGGAAAATACCTTGACACACATCCAACAATTTTATCCCCTGCCGCATGTAGTTCTGAGACCTGCTGAGGGGGGGTGGCAAGGGCCCTCCTGGGAGACAAGCAGCCCATGACATCATGACCCTCCCCTGGTCATTAGGGAAATCAGAGCACAGCACAGGCTTTGTGTTGGTTGAGATTGAGAATTGCCTCTCCCCCAGGTATTTGAACATGTGGGCCTGAGTTGGTGGTACCTTGAGGAAGGTTATAGAGCCTTTAGTTGGTGACACCTTGCTGAAGTGAATGAGCCACTGGAGGCAGACTTTAAATTTGTATAGCCTGGTTCTACTTCTTGCTACCTCTCTCCACTTCCTGTGCACAGATGAAAATGTGATCAGCCAGCTTCCTGCTTCTGCCGAAGCTGGAAGACTTCCCACTGTGATGGACTCTCTCCCTCTGGAACTACAGGCAAAAATAAAGACTTTCTTCCCTATCTTGATTGACATTTTGGATGTTTTCTCACAGCAACAGAGAGTTCACACAGGCTTTAAGCAACTTAACTTCTCATAACTTCTAAGTGCCTAGCTCTGAAAGTGTATATGCCTAGCTACTCTGAACTTGGAATTGGGACACTTAGGTGGGAAGCCCCAGATCTAAGCAGCACGTTAACTCTGCCTGCTTCACATGGCTCACACGACTGACAGGACAGGAAGCAGAATCTCTTGAGTCTCTGACTGATGACTTCCTCTGTGGAACAGGGACTGTGTCAGTGCTGTGAGAACTGAGATCTCTCATGTACGCACTTCTCCTGTGTAGTTCTCATCCATTCTGAGGGGAATGTGCATCTTTACCTTAACCTCCTTCAGGAGGTCCCCAAAGATCAAAGAGCTGTTGCAAATATCCTCAAAGATTTCCCCAAAGACCTGCAGCCTGTTGAACTGCTGAGGGTTGCAGGTGCATATCTTCTCAAGCTCCTAGAAGCAAGACACCGAGTCAGCCCCTGAAGGGGGTTGGGTCCCCATGTTCCTCCTAAAACAGTTGGTCCTTCTGAGGGATCAGTTGGAAAAGGCAACCCAGATGCTGGGCTCTGCAGTGCGGGTGGCAAATGAGGGAGCCTCTGACTGCCTTCCACAGTTGCTAAGAGCCTGGTCACTCCTATGTATTTGCTTCTGTCTCTTTTTCTTTGTCCACCCCTGCTTCCTGTACTCAGAGTTCATCCTCTGACCCCAACCTCCATCCCCCCCCACACACACACTTAAAACCCTTCCCTTTCTCACAGTATTCTCGGGGTTCTGGCTCTCTGACACACAGGTGCTGTTTTCTCCCCTCCCCTGAATTCTTGCTCACTCATGGTATGCTGCCCTAGTCAGTAAGGTTCCCTCTCAGCCCGCAGTCAGTCCACACATATCTCAGCTCCCACCTGCATGCCCCCTCCATTGCTAACCCAATGTCACCTCTCTTGCATTATCGCTCTCGCCCAGGCTCTCCTTGCCCCATCTTCTATGAGAGGTAAGGTGGACATTCTTTTGTATCCCGGACACAGTATTTCCAAAGCTGTCCCCATCCATCACTGAATACTGTTGATCATGGGTTCACCTGCAACCTACCCTTGTCAAATGTCACCTTTCTCCCCATCACCTCAATTCTTATCTGCCATGCTAGGTATTAAGGGCACCAGCAACTTGGCTGCATTCTGCCTAGACAAGTAACCGAGGTACCTCAGGTTGAGGGTGGGCACATGAGAATCTCTGAACTTCAGCCCCATGTTGAGAGCATCATACTATTCCCCTTACCTCCTTCAGTTTCTTCTCGTGATTCACGGCCACCTTGCTCCCTGTGAAATCGTTCTTCGGGACATCTTCCTTTGCCAACACTTCTTTTTGGAAACTCAGGAACTTCTTGTATCTGTCAGCTTTTGTTATACCAGCTAAATAGGAGCTGACATACTGATACACATCCCTGCCTGAGGCAGGCCTGGAACACTGGCGGCTGGATGCCACCTCTGGGTATTTGAGCACTTTCATCAGGGGCAGGCTGAGCTCTTCCTTCCTGTGTCTTCCCAGATAAATCTCATGTCTTTCCCTTATTTCATCCTCGTCCTCCTCTGGGAACTTCGAAACCTCTTTGGAATCAGGGGAAGTGGCCAACTGTGGGTTCAAATACCTGAACAGTGGTGTGTTGAGAGTGTAGTCAGGTTGCAGAGCTGTGTTGATTGTGAAATAAGCCCACGCATCTCTCATCTCTGCTGTCTGTTCGTCTCCGGACACAGAGAATGGGAAGGCCTTGGTTCGCTTCCTTGGCCTGTTTGCATTGCGCCAGTGCTTGGCAATGGCCTTGGTTGGCTTGTAGAGCTTGTTGGGGTTCAGGTACCCAGAGGTGTAGACATAGACATCATCTCTGTGGACCTTCTGGAGTCGGTTCAGGAGCTCCCTCAGGTTGCAGAGAGTCTTAACTCCAGGTGTCTCACAGTGATTCCACTTCAGATAAACTGCTCAGAAGAGAAAACACAACTGTGAGCTCACCCCCTGTGCCCATGGGAAAGCAGCCCTGTTGCATGCCTGTCCTAGAAAAGAGTGGTCTTCAAAGAGGATGAGAAAATAGCACCCAGCTCTGTCCTTACAAGTCAAACACATCTGTGGTCATCTCAGGTGTAGCCGTGGGCACACCCCAGGTGCTCTTATAGGCATAGAACTCACAACCCTTCAAGGGCAACATGCTGGGTGGTTCTAATTGTCAGTGTGACACAACAGAATCACCTGTGAAGGGTATCTTAAGAAGGGATGGTTCAGATCAGGCTCATTTTGAGGGCATATTTGTCCCAGGTTGTTTTCATGACCTTAACCGATACAAGAAAAACCAGCCCACTACAGGGAACACCATTCCCCACTCTTGGTGGCTCAGACTTTGTAGGCACTGAGGAAGCACAAGGAGCATGAAACACGTGTGCATTTCTTCTCCTCTGCTCTTGACTGTAGGTATGTTGTGACTAGCTGTTTGAAGTTCCTGCCCCCTTACTTTCAGAGGTGTTGCCCGGAACTGTAAGCCCAGAAAACCCTTTAGCCCTTAAACTTGTTTTTGTCAGGGTATTGTTATTTCAGTAAATGAAATGAAAGGAGGATTGACAACCAGGAAGTACACGAGGTGCTTTAACTTGACACACAGTTGCTTACAGTAGAAGCAAAACTCCCAGAAGGCAAATTTTACATGTGATTCCAATTTTTCTTGTTAAGGATGAAAAGTCAACTTTAAAAAGCACTTCATAAGACATGCCAGGGAGTAAACACGGGCTACTTATTTGATTCTTCCGGACTGGTACCAAAGCAGTGTTTCTCAACCTGTGAGTTGTGACCCCTAGGAGTAGAATGACTTTCACGGGGGCCGCCTAAGACCATCAGAAAACACAGATATTTACATTACGACTCTTAACAGTAGCAAAATTACAGTTATGAAGTAGCAAAGAAAATAATTTTATGGTTGGGGTTCACCCCAACATGAGGAGCTTTATTCAAGGGTCACAGCATCAGTAAGGTTGAGAACCACTGGGCTAGATAATGTCAAGAAGGTCCATGCACCCAGCCCCTAGTGACTGGCCAGCTCTTCTTGTTTTCCTCTCCCATGACTATGTTGACAGGTTCTGCTCCTTGTGCCTTGGTGGGAGGACTCTGAGAATCCAATCTAAGACACCATGCCCTGGGGAGCCCCCAGGATCACTGGGGAGGCTTGGACTCCAAACAGTCCTAAGTATATGGATGCTGACCTGTCACCTCATCTCTCTGAACTAGCATTCTCCCTCTGAATATAAGGCTAATCACCTCACATAATACGGTTAGTAAACAGTCCTCCAACAGTCCCTTCTCTTGTTTAATGTCCCCTAATAAATATTCAAGTAGGACCAGGTGCAGATCTGCAAGGCTACACTTTCTACCATGAGAGCAGAGTCCAAAGATGTCTATAAAGCCAGAGGCACAATCTTCTAGGAAGGTCCTGGGAAATAAATGTCCAAACATCACCCATCAGCAAGGTTGGGGTCTCTCTTGTCCCCACAGCCATAGAGATTCAGGCTCCAGGTAGTGGGTCAGGCCTGCCTTAGACTTGAGGGGCTTCAGTCTAAGCAAGCCAGGATGGACCTATAGCCATCACTTGTCATAGCTGGGAGTCCTCTGTAAGCAGTTGCATGACCATCGAGAGGAGTGTCTGGCTCTCTGGCTAACCTGACTAGGCACAACTGAGACTGTATCAGTTAGCCTCTGATGCCCCCAAGGAACATCTGCAGTGGAGCCAGCATCCACTCACTGTCCTTCCCATCAGTGGGTGTGGATATGGGGGTTTGCTGGGCACTGGGCCTTCAGACTTGTAACCTACTTGGTGCCACCACCTCTACCAACTTTCCATGAGTGACCTCTGCCTCTGGATATTGGTGTCGTCACCAGAAAGGTTTTAACTTTCAAAACCACTTCTGAGAAACGGTGGCCTTTCCCGGGCAGTCAAGCACCAACTAAGCCAGGCAAACACAAAAAGGGAGGCAGACAACTTACAATTGGGCTCCAGATCCTTGGCCATCACGCTTCTTGTCACCAGCTTCAAGCCAAGGCTGCAGTTGCCATGGGAGTGATAAACATTCTTAGCCCCTCCCCCGCGATGGTGTTCTGGGGGCCCGCCACAGGGTGGCAGGATGGCCAGAATCTCCTATCTCTCCTCTGCCAGGCCTGTGGGTATTGCCTGGGAGCACCAGAGGGAGGCTCACTAGCTTCACTTTTCAAAACAAAACATTCTTTGGGATTTGAAAGCATCTAGCATCGACTTATTACAGATCCTGGGGACAAAAGGTAGCTCAGCCCTGTGCTGTCCCCAGTGAATGTGTCCCTGCCTAGAGTACACCAAAGTGACAGGTAATGCCAGGCTACGGTGTTACTGCATAAGTGATTGAGTCGCCGGTGGAGACTCTAGAGTTCTGGTGACTTGCCAAGGCTGAGCCGAGAAGGAAGAACTCCAATTTGCACACCTCTGCAATTTTTTTTTTCTCTACCCAGAAAAAATTCATCCAAGTCATGGCTTATGTCAGCACAGTCATTCTACCCCTTACATGACAAAATCAGAATGTCAAGGGTTGAATACATGTGGGGTCTTAAGAATACAGCGAAAACCCTACTCCTTCCTATTGTTTAATATTCCATCAAAGTGGTTGAAGGAGAAGTATATTTGATTATTATCTGTGTGACACACTGACCTGTCTTAAACTAAATTGGGCTTTTCTGGAAACAAAACCCTGGTTTACTCATGTTGTTCTGTGTTCTCCCTCTACATGATGCTGGTGTGTGTGTGTGGGGGGCTCTCTGAAGGCTGGAAGATGGAAGGACCAGACACACCTGGGTCTTCCCAGGGAGGAGCCTCAAGAGCAGCAATGTATCCACATGTGCTGTGGAAAGCCAGGGAGAGCAGAATTGTTGCTGGCCCCTGATGACCACAGAGCCAGCACTGTGGGAAAATGATTGGGTTAATACTTTTCAACTGTCAAAATTTGGTGCATAAGGGAACTAACAACTTTTCTGTAATGCAAGGCTGAAACCCAGGTCATCAAAGACAAATTCCCTACCACTGAGCCACACTCCATAGCCACACACCCCTAGCCCAGCTAGTGGCAGAGTGGTGGTATGTGGGGTGTGCGTGTAGGGAACCACAGAGAAAAGCCAGCCTCTGCCAGTTGAGAGGGTGGGCGGGAGTCTAGATGCTACCGCCAAGAGCAACTTCAGGAGGAAGGGACAACTCTCAGGTCACACTCTATCCCTGCCAGAAGTTGGAGCTCAAGTAGGGATGGAACCTGGAGGTTGGAGCTGATGCAGAGGCCCTGGAGGAGTGTTACTTGCTGGCTTGCTCTCTGTGACTTGATCTGCCTGATTTATTATACACCCAGGACTACCTGCCCAGTGATGATATGGCCCATAGTGGGTTGGACCCTCCTACATCTATCACTAACCAAGAAAATGCCTGCCCCACAGGCTTGCCTGTAAGCCAATTATTAAAGAATTTTCCAAGTTGAGGCTCCTCTCCTCAGAAACTCTGGCTTGTGTCAAGTCACCACAAAACCAACAAGCACAAACCTTGACGTGATGGAAGAGTAGGCTTAACATTTATACCAAGAGGCTGTCCTCTGGCTCCTCTTGACAGAGACAGAGAGCATTTCACAGGCTGCATTGGGGGCAGGCAAGTGTCTGTGGGAAGAAGATCTGGCTGCCACCTATGGGTAGCCTCTCAGAGTGTCTGCCGTCTTACCCACAAACGAGAGAGCAAACTTGAGAGATGGTATTTTAAAAACTTTGTATTCAATTATTCACACCAAAGAATATCCATTAAAATTATGAACATTTCTAAATATATTTCATGTATCATACATATATATATATACTTTATATGTATAATTACATATCCACAAAAGATTCCTTACTGCTTTAAGCATATGAGTAGAACAAAGATAGAGATTTTGCAATGTTAACACCCATATTTGCATATATACTGGCTGATTGAATTATGAATTTATTTACACCTTGTCTGAGTTATAATAAATGATTACTGTTCTATTATACAAACGTAACAGTAAAGGCTTTTAAATACAAAGACTGCAAATGAATACATGAAAAATTACACACATGTACAATATTTATAATTTATAAATGTAAAGATAAGACTTCGTTAAATTATTGCACTTGTGCACTTTACAAAGATTTTTTTAAGGTCATACATATAAAATCATCTTTTGGAATTTACTAACTCATCAACTATAATAATGTTGGATATTGTTAACTTGAAATTCTTTCTGTCCCCCTCCAAAAGAGAGCCCATTAAGGCTTTGGCTGTAGACCCATCCACTGAGGACCAGTTGCTTGGGCCTGTGCCCCTGTTCCAGCAGGTGTTGGCCAGCAAAGAGGCTGTCACTGTGACCTCTGGGGTGCCTTGGCTGGGTGTGGATGGAGAATCTCTTTTGTTCCTATGTTCATGAAGAGAAAGTTGTTCTTCTCAGAAAGAATCCAGACGCTGCATTTGTAGTTTGGTAAGTGTTTCACAGTGTTCTGGGCAAGTACGTGATTTTTAACTAGGTGGGCACTGTACAGATACCCTCTGTGCATCAATCCACAGCACTTTTCTTTTTGTACAGTAAATGAACATGTAGCATGTACTCCATACAACAGATCATATGGAAACAGTATTCCCACACGCCATTTATATTCACTATTCTAGATACAGCACAGGACTGGGTGTCAGGGTGACCAAGCCAAAAGAGAAGGCGAGGATGCCCATAATAGAATGATGTTTTAGGTGGGCTAGACAAAAAAACAGTGCTTGGGGATTTAATTTACATTAGAGATAAAAAAAAATCCTCAAATGTATAGTTCCTGGAGATTAAGCACTGAGATTTGTGCACTGACTTACTTTGTGGCAGACTCTGTGTTCAGCTGTGGTTATACCCCTGGTGTTTGGGCATTCTCCTGTGCCCCCCCCCACACACACACAGGGTCAGCCCTAGGTGTGTTGTTCTAGTTACAAATCCTCACAATTACACTAATGGCAGGCAGACTGCTCACAACCCACAAAGCACCAACCTCCACTACGGAGCAGGGACAAGTCAGGTGACTGAGGACTTGTGTCTTTGGGTTCTAGGTGTGTTTTTCTTAGGAGACATGAGCTTTTCTATACTCCTCATTGGCAAGGAGAACACCTCTAAGCATTTGTCTTTCTTTTATTCTGTTTCTGTCAGTGCATAAAATACCTTAAATACTTTCATTGATCCAACTGTACTGCTGGGCATCTCTAATTTAAACTTAGTGTAAATCATGCCAGCCAAATGGGCAGCAACAAAAAACTCACATGTGTAAATATAAATGTCACACAAGGGGAAGCCACAGCTGATGGTACATGTGACTAACTCAAATTTCACAGTGGCTGTCAAGTCAGACTGCCACTTGCAACATAAGGAGCCTGTGACTGGATGAACAGTCTTCCAAGAATCCCTCACCCCACCCCACCCAGCACACAAGATCAGCAGAGCTCAAAGCAACCATGCAAGTTTGGAATATTCAGTGAGAGGTGACTTTCAAAACCAAAGCCAGCTGAGGAGCTGGAACACCCCCCCCCAAAGAGATCCGTGCCTCTAACTGGAGCCACAGTACCCATCGAACAAGAGGATCCCAAAGTCACCAGGGCAGATGCCAGGGACCTGGGATGATGACAGGAACCTGACGAGCAGAGGTGGACCTACCACGGACATGCCCCTTTAAATGCTGTCCCTTACACTTGAGAAAGAGGTGGGCACATGAGAGAAAGGGGGTGAGTCAACATTTAAAATAAAGACACAAGGCCAAGGCAGGGTGACTACTTTGTCCTGTTAAAGCCGAGCCCTTAATTTAGACCCAAGAGAGCAGAAACACCAGGCACCAAGCTAAGCCCACTGGAAGACCTGGTTGGTCCCTAAGGCATCATGCAGCAACAGGCAGGCTGTGCTAACACATCTAGCACATATATGAACACAGTGAACAAGCAGAGTTCACCGAATGTATATAAAATAAAAATGCCAGCACATGCTAAAAAGAGGAGCCTGACACTGAACAGGTCAGTTCAAACTGACTCTGTGTGGGAATGAGACACCTGAAGTGTCACAGGGGCAGTCATCCACTGGCACTTCAAACCAGAGGGAGTCGGGGACAGGATTCCACATCCCTCTTCCTGCTTTTTACATCCTGGGAAGGTGGGAAGCTGACCGTCACCCAGCATGCTTTTCACTGCTTCCACAGCCACTCACACCCTGTACTTTGTTCTAATCAACTGTCAGCTAATTGATGGTTACAGATTTTAGGACTGTATTTCACTGCCCAGACTCAGTACTTCACGTTGGTTTGTTGGCGTGCACTTATGTATCCGAGAACATTTTCTCAGATGAAAAGGTACCACAAAGCATAGGAAGAAATTAAATAACCACCATGAGTATAAAACTTGTGCATTAAAATGATCGTAAACAATATCATTTTGGTAAATGGAACATTCTGTTAATATTCATTATTAGTCACTAAGTTTGCATCAGACACCAATGAGGAATTCCTGGAAATCTTTGGTGGGAGAAAACATGGTGACAAAAGAGGTGGGGAAAAAAAAAAACTTAGAGGCAAAATTCAAGTGCTTGTCTGCTAAATGTGTTTGCCAAGATACAAAAGGACACTCTTGACTGCATGAATTCCAAAACCAAATTATTAACTAAACATGGCCACATCCTGGCCTCTTTTATTTCTGGAAAACCTATGCCTCCTGGTCTCACACATGGGGAAAACAATGTTGCAAAGGTCTTTTATAAAACTTAAAAAGGCCTTTTAAAAAAATCAGCTGTAATCTTTTATCCAAACAAGAGACTGACCAGCCAGTAAATTCCTAGCAGGTTCCTCTGCAAAACTGCCACAGCAGAGGCCACACCATACAGTATTCTTGGTTAGGTCCAATTAAAGGAGATTCCTGTAGTATTCTTATTACTACGGCAATCACGGAATGCTAAAGCAGTCACAGGATTCCCAACACCAGGATCCTTTTCCATACAGGGGGACAGAATTCATGCACGCCTTCAAAATGATGGAATAAAACAATCACCCTAAATACTGCCCCCTTTCTGCAATCCAGCTTCCAAGACAGATACTCAATCGACTGGTGTGGATAAAAGTGGCTTTTTGTTGGATCGAGCGTCACATGTCTGTATGAGGAGAGTGGACTTGCTTCAGGCTTCCACCTGGGAACGCTCACAGGAGTAACACTCCTATCCATGCCCTCATGGAGAACTTCCCAACATGGAAAACCACTGCTTTCGAGTATGGGAGTGACTGTAATTTTTTTAATACATAAATACTTGCTTCTTTCTTTCCTTTTGTCTCATTGTGTACCATATATACATCTGTGTGTTTGTCCCCCAGCATGCATACATATGTGTGTACACGTGTGCACAGCCCTGGTGTTCACCGGTGTCGCCTTTTACCTCATACAGTAACAACAGCAAGTCAAGAAGCCTGGAGGGGAGATGGCAACTCTTTAGAAACCAGTGAGGAAACTGAACACATGGTGTTAATGTAAAATGACAACAAGGTTTGTGTTCTGCCCACTCTGCTACAACATGAATCCATATGTAGAAGAAAACCGAATAATAGATTTTTGCAAAATGCCAAGCTCCCGTAAGCAGTGGTGTGTAGAGTACCAAGTGTATCAAAGTCTATTTCAAAAACTCATTTCAAAGCAGCTTTTCACATTCCTGCCAGAGCAGTGAGAGAGCTGTTCGCCTCTAATCATTCTCTAACTTCTCAAGACTCATTCACAGCATGAGAACAACCAGGCACAGATTCTCGGGTTTCCATGCCACTGTCCTGAAAAATCCTCATGGCATGAACCAGGTGACACCCTTAGAATGCAGCAGGAAGGGCCCAGGGGGTTTTTGCTGGCTTTTCAAATGTCACACAGCAGGAGTCAGCAGAAAGTCACACCAGAGGACTATTCACACATGGGGTTCTTTGTGGAGGACTCTGAGAGTGGCAGAGAAGACATAGTCAAGGGTCAGTGTGGTGGCCCTGCACCTCCTCCTGTTGGGCCTGACTGCACAGTGAAGGAGAGACCCAAATTTCCAGGAGACTGGGGCTGCACTGTTGGAGCCTCTGTGGGGTGTACCGCATGGAATGGGGTGTCATTTAGAATAATCTCACATTTTGGATGTGACTATAATGCTGCCATAACACACAGTAAAAATGTAAATAAATTGTTTTTAAAATTCACATTTTTCACTCACAAGTTTTTCTTGCTGGGGGGAAATTTATATCCCTTACTTTTATTTTCTTTGTGCAAAGGATTTGGTTAAAGTTGCCAAAGGCTACAGTCTACAGTGAGGGAGGGGGAAGTGTTTTAATTCTTTGACATGGTTTGACATAAGAGCTGTGGTTCTTGGATGCCCTGTACCCGGTGTCTCCTTGACAGAAGGGTGGAGGTCTGCCTCCTACAGGGGAGCTGACTCACCTACATGACCCCGGATGAACTGAAAGAACACACCTTTAGTCTGCCTAAAACCAACAACTGGAACTTCTCTATCACCTGTGGGCTATGACCTTCATTACCTGTGTCCCAGGCTACAACTCAGTCAGCGACAAAGGAGGTCACATGAGGACTTCACCATGGGGGACATGTGTCCTATTTATAACCAATGCCACCAAATAGCACTGCTGAAGAGATGAAACATAGAACCAGGGTACTGACCACACCCTCTCGGAAGGACCCAGGCAGGAACCCCTCCTGTGGTCTCTGCCCACCTCCAGGGCCACCAGAGTGCTGGCCGGTTCACTGATGTCATTCACAAGTCAGGTGAAGCCACAGAACAGCTGATGTCTGAACACGGTGGAGCCGGAACTGCTCACTGTCTGAGGCGTGCGCGAGTGGCAAGCAGGGAGTCATCTGCTCCCTGTGTGTATGTGATGGTACCTTCTGGGAGAGGTTCCCCCCACCCTTAAAAAACAAAAGGAACGACGTCAGAGAAGCAGGGTGAGAGTCAGTTGCTGGGCAGACACCTCTCCAGGATCAGTCATCCACCTTCCTTGGCAGTTGCTCGGAGGCCCCTTTGCCAGAAATCCACTGCGCAGTCTCCTCCCCGCGAATCACCTTCTCCCACTGGTTGAGATTGTCCCTGGGAACAAAGGACAGGGTTACAGATGACATCTGAGCTGGCTTGCAAAAGGGACATCAGCAGTGTGGGACAACTGAGCCCCAGCCCTGTTAGAGTGGTTCTGATACTGACAGTAGCTGGTGTAAGGCAGGCTCTTGCCATGTCTCTTCAGCGGTGAGTTCCAGAGGCACCAGAGCACTGGACAGCCAAACTGGAGCCAGGGTCTTACTTCCTAATTACTGAGGACAGAGTCAGCAGGTGTACCTGGGGCTCCTTATAGGGGATGATTCAGGCAAAGGGCAGCCAGGGGTGGCAAGTGAGAGAGCAGGATGGTTCCACCCAAGTTACACAGACCTGGGGTGGGGGGCAGTTAACCTCTCCTTGGTGCCTTGCATCTGGGTAGCCTCTCATGTGTAAAACATCTCAGCTTCCCACGGCAGAAGTTCTCTGCTTGGTGACCTCCAATGGGAGCCCTGTTTTCCTACTGCCCTCTAGTTTTTTCTCTGCTTGTCCTCAACTGTGATATCGCAGGCACATGGCCTTGCAAACCTGCCGTGGTTGCAGCCTACTATGTAAGCCTGCTAGGTGAGCCTGGCTTGGCTTTCTTTTACACACAGTCAACGTCAGAAGGGATCTTTGACTATGGCAAGCACAATATCAAAAAAACCTCTCCAATTTCCCTTTATTAGCAAACATGCTAAAATGCCTTGTTGGGGGCGGGGGGGGGGGGATATCCTAAAATACAATGTAATCCAGGTAAGACCCTTAAATCTGCTCCTTAATATTAAGTATCATTTTCCCCAGATCTTAGGGATTGTCTGATACATTGGGAAAAGACACACACTAGATTTGGTAATTTTCTTAGACTTCATGCGTACAAAACATTTAAACACTGAAATGGTCTTTAAGAATGCTGTGGGGTCCTCTGCACACAGACCCCTTAGCTCAGCTGTCCTTTGACCTGTCCTGGTCTTTGGCATGGGTTGCCAGCACCATTCGTCCTATCTGAGTTATAGAACAGGATGCCTTAGCATCAGCTAGTGTCTGAGATTCAACTCTGATAAAAAAGAAAGAAAGGGGGCTTCTAGTCCCCGAGGAAACCAGTCAACTGGGTCCACCCCAAGACCCCTGACCAGGGCAAATGGATAGCAGACCAAGCACGCAAGCTTCAAATCAGAAGTCACTGAAAACTGTGACTACCACATGCCCACTGGCTGATGGAGTTCAGGGTGGCTTTGATGGCCACATGAATGGGGAACTCTGTGATTACCTGCAGGCCTTCAGCAGCGGCTCTGTGGGCGGAAGGATCTGTGTCAGCGTGGTGTAGCAGGGAATGGCCACAGCATTGTAGAATCCAAGCTGCCATAGAGCGAGGTCGGGAGATGAAACAAGGTCACTGTTAAGATGTTGATGCCCCACTACTCTGTCTCTGAACCCTAAGCATGAAGTCAGCTGTTCTGCTGTGTGCTATGTGCTGTGTGCATGTTATGTGTTTGCTGTGTGTGTTTGTGCTGTATGCTGTGTGTGCTGTGTATATGCTTTGTGCATGTTGTGTACTGTGTCTGTGTTGTGTTCTGTGTATGCTGTGTGTGTGTGTGTGTGTGTGTGCACGCGCGCGCTGTGTATTGTGTGCTATGTGCTGTGTTGTGTGTATGCTATGTACTGTGTGTGTGTATTGTGCTGTGTATGTTCTGTGTGTGTGCTATGTACTGTGTGTGTGTGTGTGTGTGTGTGTGTGTGTGTGTGTTGTGCTGTGTGTGTGCTGTGCTGTGTGTGTGCTGTGCTGTGTGTGTGCTCTGTGTGTGTGTGTGTGTACTGTGTACTGTGTGTGTGTGCTGTGCTGTGTATGTGCTGTGTGTTGTGTTGTGTGCTGTATACTATTTGCTGTTCTGTTGTGTGCTCTCTGTGTGTGTGTGTGTGTGTGTGTGTGTGTGTGTGTGTATACTGTGTGCAGTATGTGTATGTACTGTGTGCAGTATGTGTGTGTATTATGTGCTGTGTGTGTGCTATGTACTGTGTGTGTGTATTGTGCTGTGTGTGTTGTGCTGTGTGTGTGTTGTGTGCTGTATACTATTTGCTGTTCTGCTGTGTGCTGTGTGTGTGTGTACTGTGTGCTGTATGTGTGTGCTATGTACTGTGTGTGTGTATTGTACTGTGTTATGTGTTGTGCTATGTGTGTGCTGTGCTGTACTGTGTGTGAGTATGTACTGTGCTGTGTGTGTGTTCTGTGTTGTGTGCTGTATACTATTTGCTGTTGTGCTGTGTGCTGTATGTGTGTGTACTGTGTGCTGTGTGTATGTGTTGTGTGCTGCATACTATTGCTGTTCTACTGTGTGCTATATCTTCTGGGCCCTGAGAGAACCAGTGCTGAGTGGCTGACTGTGCATTTAGATGGAAGGCAAGATTGCACACACAAATCCCAACACAGCACTGCACTTTACACCCACAGCACTCAAAACTTTATAGACTTAAACATGTCAGGCCTGTTGAGGGCCTGTGGTAATTCGATGCTGCCCTGTGGACATTGCAAAGTCAGGCCCATAGTCCTTTACCTGCCCAGCTCTCTTCCAGCTTAGCATTCAGGGGCAGCTGATGTTATTTCTGGTTTCCTTCTGTGACCTTTAGTTACCATCCCTTGTGCCATCCCCACCCTCACCAGACTTTCGCTCTTCAACAGGCAACATGTAGGGGCTGAGTAGTGACCAGACACCTTCCCCCTACTGGTGAGCCCCACTTCATGACTGGCCAATAGATGGCAAAGTGGGGTCTCAGCTCCCTAGGTTAGCTTAACAGCTTTTTTAGAAACAGAACTTCAGGATGTATCTGAGAGCAGAGGCAGCAGGAGTTCTATGTAGGTCAGCTTTGCTTTCTCCTGCTGTGGTTATGGTCACTGCCTCCATGTGAGAGCCATGCTTATACATTTCCACTTCTAAGTTTGTGCAGTCTGGGTAGACCTGGCACTCATGAAACCTCCTGCCACAGGCTCCTGGGGGCTGGGGTTGCAGGGCTGAGCCACCAGAGTGGGCTTGTTTTTAATTGCACAGCCTGTGCAGGTGTTTCCTTATTCTAATTAAAGCAAGGAGACATTGGGCTAAAACGCCTGAGAAGAAGATTACATACTGGAGGACAGAGTACTTCACTGTTGTGATAAAATAACTTTACAGTGGTTGATTTAGAATTTAGAAGAATTGGAAAATGTTTGTGGATCTCAGAGACATTTAAAAGTCCCCCATGCTACAAAAGGAGTTATTCTTTGGGCAAAGCTCAATCTATTTTAAAGTGAACCTTTTTTTTTTTTCTGATTGAGAGTCCTAAAACAGAGTCAGATATAACTGTTTTGACAAACTTTGTTAGGCCCCTTCCTTGGTGACAAGATGTATGTCAAATAATTTAATAAGCAGATGTAAAAGAGTGAAACTAAGGAAGTGGTGAAGGGAGGGTGGCAGGTGTCTATACCCCAGAGCAGACAGGACTCCAAGAGGTCCCCACAAACACAGGGGCCGGCCAGAACACATGGCCAGTGGATTCTGCATTTGAGAACCATTTACAGAGGGTTTAAAACCACTGAGTTCCATAGACAGATGACCCAAAGGCAGACAGACAGACAACCACATGACGATGACACTTGTTCTTCATACCTGTCCCTGGGGGACTTCGTCTCGCTTGTCTCTGTCCATCATGGGAATGGGCTGTATTCCCAGTTTCTTCATTTCATCACCCTAGAAGAGACAGGAAGAGACTACTTGTAGTTTTCAAATAGTTGTACAAAATGTTGGTGTCCCGTGCCCCAAGATTGTCAAAGCAATGGCCATTGTCAAAGCAATGGCCATCTTTGTGTCACTGTGTAGTACCGAGATCTGACATTCTTTTTTGCCAAATTTCTGGATATACAGACATCTCCTCTGGTGCCACCATATAGCAGCTCACGGCAGGAGGGGTGATGGGTGTGCAGAAGCATAAAGGCTGCCCTTGCTTCCTCTTCACTAAAACTTGTTGAAATCTTCTTAAAGTTTGCCCAAATCTTAAGGATGCATACTTAGTCATTTAAATGAACTTGTTTTTCTTCAGAAATCACAACTCTACACTGAAACCTTCTAGGGTTACTTAGAGTCAGAAAAGACTTTCCACACCCCTCCCTTAAAACTCTGCCCTGTAGAACCCGGGTTCTCAAAGCACCAACTCTTCAGCCCTTCGTTTTACGTGCAGAAACTACTGGGTCTCGTTGCCTCTTCTCTATCCAAATGAGTGAAACCTACCAAGCGCCTGCTGGGGATGATGTCCCAAGTCTCAGGAGGGAACGAGTTTCTAGATCAGCAACTTCAGTGTGTGCTTAGAGTGAGATTAAATGCTGAAAAGGAAACCCAGTGATGTGGGACAAGCAAGGGAGAGGTACCTAATGAGTAGCTTCAAGGACTGTGGGGGCAGAGGCAGGCTATGGCAGGGGTGGTGCTTATGGCAGAAGCTTGGCCACCGGGTACTGACTGCCTCAGGCTACAAGTTAAGGGCCAAACCAACCATGCTCTGTGGCCACATGACCCAAGACATGGCAGGCTTCATCACTGCTATTCACCTCTGAGAGGCACAGATGAGGAGTGTGGAGGCCATGGGAAGGGTAGAAAGCAGCAGCAGCATGGTGGGAAGAAGAGGAAACACTGGACTTCAGGGGGTTAAATCAACTGACAGGCCCAGAGACTATTCATGGCTCCGCCCAGGGAGGGCAAGGTCCTGGAGACTGCCTACAGTGCTTGGAGCTTCATCCACTGTGGACTGGGTCCTCGTGAGGAGTGTGCAGGGGGTGAACCTATACTGTGTCTACCACATCTTCATTCACGTCTTAGAATTCAAACGTGGTTGGGGAAGTGTGGTCTGCATAGAATGTAAAACTGAGTGGAACCATCGGCTGGTTTTCCCAGGTGGCGTTTGAAGAAAGTAGCTCACAGGTGCAACTGAGCTGATTGCCGCAAGGACGGATTAACACACTTGAGACTTGAGCCCCGTGCAGCTCAATTTCCTTAACTAAGTGAGACAGGTTCTGTTACAGGGTAAAACAAAGTGTGTGCGTTCGTGAATGTATGTGTGAATGTGTGTGTACATGCGTGTACACATGCTCTGGAGCAGTGGTCCTCAACCTTCCTAATGCTGCAACCCATTTAGTATAGTTGCTCATGCTGTGGTGACCCCTCCCCACCATAAAATTATTTTTGTTGCTACTACTTCATAACTGTAATTTTTGCTACCATTATGAGTCATAATGTAAATACCTGTGTTTTCTGATGGTCTTAGACAACCCCTGTGAAAGGGTCGTTTAACTTCAAGGGGGTCGCACCCCACAGGTTTGAGAACCACTTGCCCTAGAGGGGGGAGAACCTGAGCTGGCCAGGAGCACAATGGCACCGAATTATGCTAGAGGCAAACAAGGATGTCCCAATTTCTCACTGGTGGCAGATGCAGCCTGGGGCTTTGGAGCCCTTTATGTCCAGTGCATTTATAAAGCGATGTGCAAAAGTACACACCCAGTGAGCAAAGGTCAGAGGTCAAGAAAGAAAAGTTGCCACAGCAATGCTCAGTGAGTGTGGTTTTGAACTCCTTAAGTGGGGATCAGTGAACTTGCCCTCTGTCAGGTAGGCTGCTGAAATACCAGTTCTTGGTAATGTCTACGTTAATATAAGAATCAAAGACATACCTCAGCCCAGAACTCTGCGTATATATCATTTGCCGTCAGTTTCGTAACTGGCCATAGCTTCGTCACAGAACATAGGTCACAGGCAGTCATCATCAACCCGATGACACGATCTCTAGAAGATGACACAAAGGTAGTGAATGCAGTGTTTGCACTTTGCCTGGAGACCCAAGAGGTGGGGGCAGACTCAGGCATCGTCAGGAGTAAAGTTTGCCTCTGCTGTGTTACCTCCCAGTGACAGAAAAAGCATTAAGAAGCAGAACCATGTAGTTTAGCGGGCAGGACAGCAACATGGAACTAAAGCTCAGGGTGGCTTTAGCTACAGCATCAGGCCCTTCTTCCACAAGCTGTATAGGAGTGTGCTCTGTGCTTCTCATGTCTCAGTGTCCCCATTTGAGCAAACACGGAGACAGGATTCTGTTACCCTTCATATTGTCTGGCCCTTCTCAGAGCTATGGGCCAAGCTTTCATTTCACAGACTTCTTGCACTTTTAATGTCACCTGAAGAGAAAACCTGACCCCTACTTTCATCCTATATCCACAAAGTCTGAGATGTACAAGAATGCTTAACTTCTACTGGGGAGAAGTGGCGTCATCAGGTCAGATGAGGACTTGGGAGTGTGGCGAGCTTGCTTGCCTGTGGAGTGGGATGGACGGTGTTCCTCCAAGGCTGTTCTGTTTAGCAAGAACATGTTCAAACTCTGCCAGAGAGAGGGGGATTCTCCATTTAGTTTCTTGGCATCTGCAGTGATGGACTGCATGTCCAACTTGCTATCTGTGTAAGCGTATCTAAATGTTTTCTCTTAAAGAAAAAAATAACAATTGCTAAAACTTCAAAGAAACAAATTGCCCGTGACTTTACTGAGTTTTCTCTGGTGACTCTTGGTCTAGTGAAATGAAGAAAGGAATTATAATGTCCTCACCTCAACTGGAGAAAATAACGTAATTTATAAAGACCATTCATCACCAGAGATAGGGAACTATGTCAGAGGTGAGACAGCACCTCTTCCAGCTGGCATGAGGGACACAGGATTTCTCCATTGGAGACACAGCCTGCACCAATGGGGATGGTTCCTCAGGGTCATCTGTCAAGGTCTCAGGTGGCTGTCCCCTAGTTCTCACTACAGGTTCCTGAATGCCACATCAAGGTATTGTTTGCCATCAACCCGTCCCCCCTCCCCCACTAACCTCTACAATCTGGCTTTTCAAAGGGAATAGCCCGAGGGCTTGTTATATCTGCTACAGGTCACTTCAAATAACTGAGAGATGCTCAACAGTCATGTGTGGCTGCCTGCCATCCCAAGCAGATGGCATTTCAAGACCCAAATAGCTTAAAGTGACCAGAGAAATGTACAATTCTCTGGATCCACTAATTTTTAGCTTTAAAAGAAGAGTGTTTTTAAATTTGAGCGTCTAAAGAATTAAGTTCCTTCCTTCCTCAACTGGTAAATTCACTAGACAGATGGAGAACATGAAAACTAGCACTGTATTTACAAATAATTCTTTCTTGCAATTGAAGTAAGTCAATCTCATTCAATGTATTTCACCAAAACCCCCAACACTTTTATGCTAAATAGTATAATAAGGTTTAATCTGAAAAAGAATACATTTCTCATTTCAGAAGTCTGTAAAAGCAATATTAATAGCACGGGGCTTTGCAAAATGTGCAAAATTTTCCCACTGGAAATAGCCTCACATTTAAAACTACTGGTATAAGGACGAGAACTGTCAAAATTATTTAGACAACACAATGCCAAGTTGCTCTTTTACTGCTCATGAGGAAGTGAACAGCCTGGAAATTTGGCATGGGTCTGTATTAAATATAATTAGTTTTTATTTACAATTATAAATCAGTTATATAGTCATGCTCACTCAGAAATGCCAGAATGGATGTTTCATTCTGTTCCTGAACGGAATCAGACCTCAACCCTGAACGAACAGCTCTGCTGGGGTGGGGTTCATTCAGGAAGCACCCCTGGCATGACCTCACTGAGTTGAATATGCTACAAAACTCTTAACATATTTAACTAGGTGAAGAAAATGAATTAGTCATTAAGTGATACTGATTTAACACATCAAGGAGAAATAAAAAATATAATTCTATTAATATAAGAATCCAGAGATAAATGTAAAATTTGAGCTATAAAATACACAAAAATTTATGAAGTATTTGCATTGCCGTGGGGTTTGATAAGAACAAGTAACAGATCTGGCTTCATGATCTGAGGTTTCTATGTTCTCAACAGAGAATCTGGGGCTAGAGTGTCACTCACTAATACAGGGTTTGCCTGGCATGTGTAAGGCCCTGGGTTCCATCCTCAGACACACACACACACACACACACACACACACACACACACACACACACACACACACACACACACAGAGAGAGAGAGAGAGAGAGAGAGAGAGAGAGAGAGAGAGAGAGAGAGAGAGCATGAGAACATGAAGAAAATTTGCAAATCTCCTAAAGAAAACATTTGTGAAAAAGAACACAGAAGTTCAATATCCTTAGTTAAAGACAGGCTAGATGATGATTTGTTAAGAGTAAAAGTTCAACAGAACAAGCAAGCATTGTGAACAGACAGAATAGCTGTGCACACAGCAGTCAGCAAGTGTGAGGTCCTTCTGTAAGGCAGGCAAGAGTGCATGGAGCAGCTCTCATTCTCATGTTAGAAGATGTGTGAACTCCTAGCATGTCTGTTTTAAAACAATGTATGTATATGTCTAGCAATATATACTTAATTATTTTTATTTCTTGTGCATCAGTGTTTTGTCTGCATGTGTGTCTGTGTGCCATGTGTATTCCTGCTACCCACAGAGGCCAGAAGAAGCCATCAGATCCCTGGTTGTGAGCTGCCATGTAGGTGCTGGGAACAAAACTCAGGTCCCCTGCAAGAGCAGCCAGTGCTCTTAACCCACTGAGCCATCTCTCCAGCTCTATGTAATGTACTTTCAAGGGTCCCTAGGAAAGATCCCATGAGCAGAGTTTATTGCATCATTCTTTATAGTAGAAAATTCTAGAAACTGTCACCATTAATCTGGAAAAGGCTTCCAAACCTTTACAACTATTTATGTTACATTGAATTATAGATCTTTTTAAAAAGGACTGGCTCTGAAATAAGCATGTTTTAAGGAAAAGGCACACAGCTAGTTATACACTGCAGGAACACTGTGCACACCTCTGGAGAAACAGAAGGTAAACGGGATGGCATCACAGCAAGCATGTGGCAGCCAGGTGCAATCTCTTTGCTGTGCGTATTTCTTCCTTCTGAAGTTAAGGCAAGCAAGCATTACCTTTAAAACCATTAACTAACACAAATTAGTCACAGCTAATTTCACATCACCGGTAGAGACCCATATGTATTAAGCATGAGAAATAGCTTTTCAATTTGATGTTTAAATTTTCTATAATGGTCTATTAATTATTGTGACCATTTAGCTAAAAAGTAACTGAATACATCCAAGAAAAAGTAGAAGGACAGGTTTCTGAAACTAAGCACACTTCATTCACAAGGGTTGAATATTCCTCTGAAGGTACCATAAAGACAGTGTAAACAAACACCTGTTCCTGCCCAGGGTTTAAGCACAAGAACCAAATGCACTGTGAGTGGAGGTGACTTGAAGCACATTGCCCCTGTGAACTTCGGGGGGGGGGGGAGCAGAGCGGGAGGAACTAGGGGCACCAATGGCCTCTTGGGAGCTTTGTCAACACTGACTCACCTAAGTCCTGGCAAGGCCTTGCCATATGTGAAAGAAAGATGGCCTCCCCTATTCTTCTGAAAGATGGTTCCACACACTGCATATGTTCTGAGCCTTGTGGAATGTGGACACACCCTGGTGTGAAGGGAGGGACGCTTGCACAGCTGCTGCTGAACTGCTGAGGAACCCACACCATTACAAGGATTCCCTTTACTCCTACCAGCTGGGCTCCAGTTCTACCCATTTGCTTTGCATCTGGTCACCCAAGTAAACTTCTCCTAAAACCATCCTCTACAAAGAAATATTAAGATCAGGTCTGGATGGATCCCAGAAGAGACAGGGACAGAACATTAAGTAGCCGTCCGTCCGTGCACCTTAGGGTGAAGATGGCTGCACTAAGGAGAGACTGACCAACCGGATACAGATAATCACAACAGTGAGATGCTGTGGCAGCCACCTGAGAACCATCCAGGCAGGAAGCAGGGGAGTGACTCGCAGCATCCTGAGCGTGAATCTGGATCCACTCTGCAAACCATCCCCGGGGAAAAATGGTGGAAGCACCGCCAGGATGCACATCAGCAGAGGCACCGCCATAAGCACACCAAATTGCAGTTCCTGACTCACACACTAGGCTGGTAGACTTTGCCAAGTTGTCCTTACCGATGTGACTGGTTGTGAAGGTTCAGCGACCCCGCCTGGTACATCTCCTCCAACTGCTTCCTGTTCCCAAAGTAGAGAGCGAGGTCAGTGGCGATGATGGCTTTGCGGATGATCTCCAGCACCTGCTCGTACTCGCTGGAGCTCAGAGTGGAGAAGATGTTGTGTCCTTCCAGCTACAGAGAGACCAGGGGAAAACCTCCAATAAGAGTCACACCTAGGCTCAGGGCATCTTCAGCTATTTGAAACAGTAGGGACAACAATGCCAAATGTCACTGTAATAGCAAATTCGGGGAAACAAAGGGACTGTTTAGTTGTAATGATAGAGTTATGGCTTATGTGAACCACTGTACCCATGGGATAATCTCTTTCATCACAAAACCCAAGTGACCTTACTATAACTTGTGTGTGTGTGTGTGTGTGTGTGTGTGTGTGTGTGTGTGTTTTATAGTGATGGGGCTAGGAAATATAAAATACTGAAGTTACCAGAAGCTTTTCTCTGGTGCTAGTTAACTGTAGTAATTTCATACTGTTCTGAAACTCATGCTGAGAAAATCATTCATATCCTCAACCACTTTAGTTCACCCTGTAAATAGCCATCCACTGTCCTGTAGCTCATGAGTGCAAGAGTGTGGAGAAGCCAAGGGCTAGCCCAAAGGAAAAGTGTGGTGGTTTGAATGAAAAATGGCCCCCATAGGCTCAAAGGGAGTGGCACTATTGGGAGGTGTGGCCTTGTTGGAGGAAGTGTGTCATGGTGGGGGGGGGGGCGCTTTGGGGTTTCACAAGCCCAAGCCAGGCCCAGTATCTCTCTCTCTTTCCTGCTGGCTAGGGATACAGATGTAGAACTCTCAGCTGCCTCTCCAGCACCATGTCTGCCTGTGCACTGCCAGGTTTCCTGCCAGGAAATAAAGAGCTAAACCTTTGAAACCATAAGCCAGCCACAATTAAATGCTTTCTTTTGTAGGAGTTGCTGTGGTCATGGTGTCTCTCCTCAGCAACAGAACACTGACTTAGACAGAAAGGCATATGAAAATGCCATGTGGAAGCCTACTGTTTTGCAATACAATTAAAATCATAAGTAGAGGGATGAAGGGAGTGAGGAATGCTGGGAGTGTGGAGGATGGGGAGAAAAGGAGAGGAAGGGTAGTAGGTAGGCTAGCCTAAGCCTTATGGAAAGCTAACTTCAAAATATAACTTTTAAAATAAGTTCAAATAGAGGCATTCTGCATGGGTGGACAGTGCCACTCCCACAAGCCATGGGCTATGAAACAAAACCACACTGCCTGATGTAGGATACCTCCCTCCAAGTTATTTTGGCCAGAGAGGCCTCAGAGGTCTCCCAAACAACTGCTAACACTGTTGGTTACACACATAACTAGCCCCGTAAGATCCTGTTGCTAAAGACACTGCACAATGGCTATGGGATATAGAGAAAACAATCTTGGGTGCTATATCCTAAAAAAAAAAAAAAACTACTCACAGCTATGGCCATTAAAGTAAGACAGCACAGTAAAATGCAGCTGCTGCCTGCAGAGTATGTTGTATAGACCCTCCCCTCCCTTCCCCTCGGAGCACTGCAGCCTGGCACCTTACCTGCAGGATGGACACTGTCTGGGAGAAGTGATGCTGCTCCATAGTGGAGGTGGAGTACAGCGCTGCCAGGGGGTGGTCGAATTTCTGCAGGTAGCTATTACTGAAGCCCCTGTGGTCCAGGTCGTGACACAGACATGCAATTAGCAGGCCTTTGCGCTTGAAGAGATAACAGAATGCAGATATGTTTAAGACATGGCAAGGGGACACCTGGAGACTTGCAGCTTACATTCACACCATATTCATGTCTGCCACTGATATATCCGAACACATAGGGATCTTAGAACTTTTGTGGAACTCTGTTCTTTGTTTTTCTCTATGTGGACTTGACAAGCAAAGGAGTTTTCCTCTGTAATCCTGGGAAAGGGACAGGAGGCACCAAATGTGCCAAAGCCTTATGGGCAAGCTCAGCTATGCATGCAGCAGACAGCTTGGGTTCACCTAGTTATAACAAGATCATCACTGTTCTCAGCCCACTACACACAACATGCAAACACGGGACATGTGAACACAGCACACTGCCCTGGAATAAGAAAAATGCTATGAAGCCCAAGGGAGGCAAGCCTATACTAAAGAGAGAAGTCTGGGCCAGATCCAGCAAGAGTGAGACACCAACAGAGACCTGAGAGAAGAAGGGAGGAGGCAACATGGTGTTTGAGAAGATCATGGTTGAGCAAGGTCAGGAGTATGCTGGAGCAGGGTACAGGGTCCTCACACAGACTGCATATTCCAAATGACAAGGAGCAGAGTGAAGGGACTCCAGGACAGCAGTGTCTGCATCTAACTGGCAGTTTTAAAAAACTGTCTAGTGACGTGTAAGGAATTCACTAGGAGGGCTTGCAATCATCACGGGAAGGCAGAGCAGAGCGAGAGCAGGGCAGTGATGGAAGTGTAAAAGGGGTAGGCAAAGTCTGGATGCAGCTTTCAGGCCTTCCAGTGGGCTCTCTTGACTGGCTGTGAAAAGCAACATGAGAAAGTTCAAATGTGATCCTTATTGAGAACACCAGCAGCAGGTGTAGGAAACCCCACAGGTGGCGAAGGTGAGTAGACCATCAGGGTCTAGGTCAAGAGTGACAGGAAACTCTTTAAGAGGGGGGCAAGTGGACATTAGGTAGGAAGCAGTTTGAGTCTCAAGCTGCTCTTGGGTAGAGAACGAAAATGGTGGAATTCACCAAAGCTCTATGAGAACAGAGGAAAGCAAAAGTCTGAGCAACCATGAACTCCAACTGTAAGGAATCCGAGGAAAGAGGTTCCCAAAGCAAGATGAGAGAGGAGTGGCCAATGGGGCTCCTGGAAAGCTGTGAAACTGCAAAAGAAGTTAAATGGGGGGAAAAAACACCAAACATCTCCCCCAAATAGAATACAATACAAATTTCAGTGGAAAATTATTCATATGAACAAAAAGCATATTTCATTTGAATCTTTCAGAGGAAGTCGACTGTTATATTGTTAAATTCTGCTAAAACTAAAGATTGTTGTAGAAAACAAATAATCAACAGCCAAGAATATAGTTTACTCCTTTGCATGCTTGTGTATGGGACTATAGTAAATGTGCGTGGGAGGGGGACCACACATTTGTGTGTCTGGATGAAGGCTAGAGAAGGACACTGATGCTCTGCTCAATGACTTCCTGCTTTACTTCTTTCCAACAGGGTCTCTCACTGAACCTGGAGCTAGGCTGGTGGCCAGGAAACCCTAGTAATCCCCCTGTCTCTGTGTCCCTCGGTGCTGGGGTTAAGCTGTGCATGGCCATGCCCACTGCCTATATAGGTCCTGGGATCTAATTCAGGCCCTCAGTCCTCCACAGTCAGCTCTCACCTACTGAGCCACCTTTCCAGCCCTACTTTTTACTGTGTTTGAGGTGCTAATTTTCCCCACTTCTGGAATCCACCTTCCATGATTTCTGGTTCAACTATGACTTTGGTCTGACAGGATGGCAAGGGTACAGGGTGGATTTATTTTGAGTGTTACTTTAAAGAAAGCAAAATGTATTATATTAGATGTGGCAGCGTTGTCCTTTGTAGTCAGAAGAGTGACATTGCTTTACAGGGGGAAAGGAGGCCTGGGTTTGTGGTGTTAGTGACATCAACAGGTTGGGAACTCAAAGGGACATGATGAAAGTCTGGTTGGCTAGTGGGCTCAGCATCACTGGTCCCCAGGTGCTAATTCCCACCACTTAGCACGATGTGGCTGGGAGTGTGCTGTGGTAGCTGCATGGATGAGAAGGCTCCAAACCTTCTGACTCTGGGATTGTGAAATCTTCCAGTGTAGCATCAGATCTAGGTATATGGAACCTGGGGAGGAGCGAGTTGTGTACCTCAAAGCCTGTCCCCTTACGGAGTAGGACACAAAATGACACTAATGTTAACTACACTAAGTGCTCAGTGTTCTTATATCATCCGGGTAAGTCTATGTTATCCAGGGCATATGGGCATCAAGAAAGATTCACTCTAGCCAGGTGGTGGTGGTGGAACACACCTTTAATCCCAAAACTGGGAAGGAAGAGGTGAGTGGATGTGTAAACTCAAGGCTAGGATGGTCTACAAAGTGAGTTCCAGGACAGCCAGGACTACACAGACAAACCCTGTCTCAAAAACCAAAAACCAAAAACAACCCAAAGAAAGAGAGAGAGAAAGAAAGAAGGAAAGGAAGAAAGGGAGAAAATAAAGAGAGAGAGAGAGAGAGAGAGAGAGAGAGAGAGAGAGGGAGAGAGAGAGAGAGAGAGAGAATAAGATGACTTCTGTGAAACAGTTTGTTCCAGATAAGACAACCATAATATTAATGAACTCACAGCAGCCATTACAGACTTCAGAGATTCAAACCAGTCAACATTTCAAGATGGAAGGGAGAAGGATTCATCAGCTCCCATCCCTAGCTGAGGAGCTATTGACAACTGATGATTCTGGGTACTGGTGCTAACTTCATGTCATAAATGCACTTTGACGTAGGCATTACTTCCCTGAGGTTTTCTGACAGGAGGGATGTGCACACCCACCTCGAGGTCTGTGAAGAGGCCATAGTTGTTCTGAAGTATGGCGTACATGCAGTGTGCCACCGTGACTGCGTGCTTCCAGTTGTGGTAAGGAACCCGCCGGTAGTTCTTCTTCACAGACATGATAAAACGACACAATTTTTCAAGTTCGAAGCTGTGTGGAGAAGAGACTGTTATGACAGGGCCAGCATAGCACCACACATTTCTGAGGCGAGTCTAGCTGAGGAGTGCAAAATCTGCTCACTTGTATACATCTGGGCTCATTCACACACCTATGGATTCTTCCACACACCTGAGGATTTCCTCACACACCTGTGGATTTCCTCACGCACCTGTGGATTTCCTTACACACATCTGGGCTCCCTCACATACATCTGGGCTCCCTCACATACCTATGGATCTTCTCACACACTTGTGGTTCCCCTCACACACCTGTGGATTCCCTTACACACCTGTGAGTTCCCTCACTCACCTGAAGGTCCTCTCACACACCTTTGGGCTCCCTCACATATCTGTAGGCTCTCTCATATATATGTGGATTACTTCACACTCTCTTATACACATCTGGGTTCCCTCACACACCTGTGGGCCCCACACACACACCTGTGGGATCCTTCACATACCTATGGGTTCCCCCACACATCTGTGGGTCCCCACACACACACCTGTGGGCTCCCTCACAACCTGTGGGTTCCCTCACATGTCAGTAGGCTCTCCCACATATCTATGGATTACTTCACATACCATGGACTCTCTCACACACCTATGTGCACCCACACACACCTGTGGGTTCCCTCCTGGCCAACCATGAGCTCTGTGGTCACTCCCACTCCTTGTTTCTTCTGTAGCCATAAAGCAGCAAAAGAACTAAGACTAATCCTGATAGCTCCGCTCTGCCAGTCAGCATGCAGTCTACCTTACTTACCCTCTATGAGCTCCTTGTGTTTACAAGCATTTCCTACACTCCAGAGAGCTCAGGTGACCACATACAGCATCCTCCTGGCCAAGGGCATTCTCAACTAAGAACTTCATAACATACTTGGATGCACAAATGCCAAGCGCATGTAATAATACTCTCTGCACCTGACTACACTCTCAGGGATAATCCAAGGCATTAAGGTACACTCACGTTGCAAGTGAAAAAAAAGCCACACCCAAATATATTTACACAGTACATGGTGGAGGAGGACACCAAATACTACTGCACACCCTGGCACTGGATTATTATAATTTTTCTTAATTGAGATCCCACCTCTCTCAAAATGTATTTAAGGCAGATTAAAAGACTAAGATTACATAAAACTTGGAGCATACGCAGCTGTGTGTCTTTCATTAAAAGCTCTCAATGTCCCTGAAGGGAAAGGTCTGGCCTCTTATGACTTCCAGACAAACCTTCAACAGGCTAAGCAACAACTGGAGCTGCCAGTCCCACATTCTAGACTGATCAAAGTAGAGAAGACATAAAGTTCAAGAAGATGATAGACATTGTCATTCCAGAGAAACTAAAAGACGCAGTGCTTGGGTCAGTGCAAAACAAACATCTGGAAAATGAGCAAATACAGCCTTGGAATTTTCAACCTGTGTAAGACGTAAACCATCACACACAAAGTCAGGGAACCATGTCAGACAGGGCAGATGGAGAGAGTAACAGCTTGTGGTTGTTGTCACATTTGCTGAAAGACTTCTCCTTCATGCCTAACCTAACAGATACATATGGGACTTGAAGTGGATGCCACAGGCATTGCGCGCTCTGAAAAGACACTGCTTTAAGTGTGGATCCTGCCTCTTCCACTGCCTAATGGACAGCCTAAATGACACTAAGTGTTATTTGGAATGTATGACAGAGTGACAAGGCATGCTAGCATTACATTTAGGTTACCCATTTCCAGAACAAAACCTAAACAGGTGTCAGCTATGACAACAGCCAAAGCAACCAGGAAGTCGACAGTCCCTGGAGCATTTGGAAAAGCTGCGTGTTCGTCCAACAAGCTCAACCAATTTTTATTTGAATGTTTATTAAAATGTCATGTTTTACCATAGCCACACAAGGAACCTGGTTAGGTAAAAGTGGGCAAAGGAGGCCACCCCCATGTTGAAAAGGAATCATTTGCATGGGTCCCTCATACCAGGATGTCCCGCAAGACTGATGGATCATGTAGACAAAGATCCCAGGCCACATGTTCTCAAAAGGGCCGATGTCAAAGTGGAACCTGAAATGAAAGGAGAGTCGTGGACCATTAGTCAGGATGGGTACGACTGGCATGAAAATCAATATGCCCTCTTATCTACCCTGATGCTCAAAGGACAAGGTGGTCTGTCCCTGCCCTGCCTTCCCTGCAGCATCTGACTGAATGGAAGTGTTCCTGTGGGACCCTACAGAGTCATCTGTTAAAGCAGCTGGCACAGGTGTCATCAGGATAATCAACACACACGTATGTATACACACACACACACACACACACACACACACACACACACATAAATATACATACACACATATATATACACATACATGTACATATGCATATACATACATATATACACATATACATACACACACATATATATATATACATGTACATATGCATACACATACATGTATATACATATACATACACACATATATGCATATACATACACACATATATACATATACATGTACATATACATACACATACATATATACATATACATGTACATATACATACACATACATATATACATATACATACACACATATATATACATACACATACATATATACATATATACACACATATATACATATATACACATGCACACACATATATATACATACACACACACATATATACACATACACACATATATACATATATATACATGCACACATATATATACATACACATACACACATATATACATGTACATATATATACATATATACACATATACATACACACATATATATACATACACATATACACACACATATATACATGTACATATACATACACCTACACACATACATATACATACATGCACACATATATACATATACATACACACACACACATATATATTATATATATATACATATACATGTACATACATACACACATACACATACACACATATATATGTATATCACGGTCCAGGGAACCTTATCAGAAACAGCCTTTCATCTAAGCTAAGAAACGAATTCAATAACTGTAACTCCTGAAGTTACCATATATAACAGTGATCTCATTTCCTAATGTAAATACTAACCCCCAACCCCACAACCAGGATGAATGGTGCAGCAGTTTATCCTGGGGGGGTGGTATTTCCAATCATATAGTGAATGCCAGCTTGGGGACAGAGTGGCTGCCCTGGGCACATAGTCACCACAAGGCCCTGCCTCTCTGGACTTAAGTGTGTTTGCCAAACACTGGGAAACGAAGAGTACAAAGATGGAACAAATTATTACTAAATTCTTTCATTTAACTTGGAGATTGACGTCAGGGTGTGACATTAAATGCCATTTGAGATACGCGGTTAGAGTAATGAATACTATCATTTAGGCGACCGATTTCAAACTTGTTTGGACTCACTATATACTCCTGGCTGGCCTTGAGTTCCAAATCCTACTGCCTGAGCCTCCCAAGCACTGGCATTTCAGGCTTGGGCCACCACAAGGGTTTCCATTTCAGGGTTTGCTACTTAAGGCAAGCAGAAGGAACAGCACATGAAAGCCCACAGGATGCCCCCTAAAGTGACCATGGTTTTGCTTTAGTGCAGTGAAAATGGCACAAGACACTCACAATTCGATCTCTCTGCAGATGCGCGATGGCAGGTTGAAGTTCATGAGGCCTTGCCACTCCTCTGAGGTGCAGATGCTGTGGTAAGACAGCTTCTCCATGGTGACCCTGTAGATGCACTCCGAGTGTCGGATCCTGTGGTACATCTGCAAGGCAGGAAGAATGCGAATGGGGGGCTGGTTAAAACAATATGGAAAGGACCTAGGCTTTGGGGTTCAGACATGAGGTGGGAGCTACAGTTGAAATTCAGGGGCTTTACTGTTGCTCACAGTTGAAACACATTGGAGCTGTGCACAAGCATGTGTGTGCACATGTGAGCGCACACTCGGGCACACATACACACACATACAAACCTTCCTTGAAGGGACAGCACTCATCTTGAGTCACATCATCCTTAACTAATTAATGTCTTCTTACCACACATCACCTCTGGGAGAGAAATCACTATCTGCCTTTTCTATAACATCCTCTATTATATTTTCACTTTAATAATAAAAAGAGTTCAAAAGAAAATGTGAGTGTAGTATTGGTAAATAAATGACTACAATCTATGGCACTTCTATATCTGTTAAAACAAATTTTGATAATTACATGCCACCTAGAACACCAAACTGGCTTCCTTGGGAGGGTTTCATTTCTTTCCCTGATTTGATTGTGTTTTTTCTTCTTTTAAGTGAATTTGGAGTTTTGTCAGCATAAGAGCAATGAATCCAACTGTGTAACAGATTTGTATGATGTCCAATATCGTGCCCAAGGAGCAGACACATGAATAGGGGACTATGCCAATGGACAAATGAGGGCTTAGCATATAACACTTGCCCAGCAGGTACAGGTGCCTCACCTTGAGAGAGCAGGTGTAGAGGGGACCTACTTGAAAATAAAGAGGTTCAGCTTACTGTCCTATTGAATTAGTAAGATCACGTGTACTTGTATGCAAGAAAATAATTAAATGCATAAAAATAATTATATGAATGAAAGTAATTATACACTAATATGTCAGATAAAATTTAAAAAGCAGTGGATCCAGTAAAAAGACCAATGCTTACATGTGTGAATTAGTAACTGTGAGATTAATTCAGAGAGAAATGATGGGGGGTGGGGAGAAATACGAGTCCTTTACAAAACTTAATGTGTGTGATTAATAGCTCTTCCATGGCCCAAGGGCACAGTGTGATGCTCCACCAATGTCGTTCGCCTGAAATAAAATGCAAGCAAGCACTCCCTTCACTTCCTCCCACACCTCATGGACTCCTTCCAGCGGGAAGGACAACATCCCTGGGATTCCCGGTATTCAGTACAGTTGAGCTGCTCTGGAGCCCAGTGTGAGTCCTTGTTGAAGATGCTGCACTGGGTAGAATAAGGTCACATCACAGTAGTTACAAATAATATCCGTCCCTTGCACATGACATAGCCCTGTTCTCCAACTCCTATTTCTGTCACTCTGCCTTACAAGCAGTCTGGTTGAAGATTTTTTTTTTTTCATTGTCTTCATTTACAAAACTATAATAATGCAAAATACATTAAATCATATAATTTATTTAAATTATTCATTCATATTTCATCGTTTTAGGTTGTGCTTTCTCTAAAATTAATTACAGTGTAGTTTAATTTCATGCAAAAAAATAAGTTTTTGGAAAATTTATGCATTTTTCATTTGGTATATAATGCTCAATGGGAATATCAGAAAATTATACAATCTGGGACCTCACTGGAAACTAAGGAAGACAGAAAATTATGTCTCTGCAGTGCTTCATCAGTTACCTACATACAGTAACTGGGAAGTCATCTTGCACCCTGTATTAGCAGAAGAGACTTTTAGAAGAAGCAACTGCTATTCGTCGAACACTGAAGTCTGTGCAGATGACCTATCAGTCTTGGGCACTAGGACATGGCAAAGTCACAGGCCCTCAGGATCCCAACAAGAAGACAACCTTAGCATGTGAGCGTGGCTTCTCCCTACCATAAACTAAACACACACCCAATAGGCTTTATACAGTGGAACCTGGCTTCTGAGCAGATAGACCATTGACTAGTTGTTGTTCCGAGCTACCCATCTATATACTAAACCCTCATGATAGTCCAGTGGCATGCACAGACTCTCAGACGGGGTAATTAGAAGGCACCAAGTCTTTAACGGTCACTGTAGACATCTAGTCACTTCAAGGTGGAACAGTTCTCAAGAATGTGGACTCTGAAGTCATCTCCCTGAGTTGGATCTCTTTGCCATTAACTTACTACAGGCATGTAGGTAAGTACCCAAGTCCCCACCTGTGAAGTGAGTACACTGTAGTGACCAGTCCTGGGTGGGGGGGCAGGTTGTAAAGGAATGATGCCACTGGATGGAGACAGTTCAGGTCTTACAGCTGGAAGTTGTCAAGGTTTTCTATTGGTCCCAGATGACTATCAACACAGCGTGCCACTCCCCCGTGGCTGCTGCATCCTCCCCTAATGATGGGCGTGAGGAGCCTGGCGACTCCTGAGTGACAGTCATGCCCTGTGGCATCACCGGGAGCCAACAGAGCCATTCCTCCTGTCTAATACTTCCTGTACTGCCAATAGTGGGAACTAAACAAGGGACATCTGGAAACAGACCACCAAGGATCACTGCTAGGCATGGGTCCTGTAAAGTTAATGCTAGATTAACTTTGGGGAGGTCTGAGATTTACACTAATATAAAAGTCAAACACTCTCTCTCCCTCCCATTGATTTAATTTGAGTTTCAAATGGTAACAAAATATTTCCTGAATTAGGTATTTTCAATGTGCTATTTTTCAATAGTATTAAATGATATCATTATTAATATGAAATGGATTCTCTACACAGATCTCAAGACCAAACATGCACTATACAGAATGAGAAACCTTAGCTGCAGCAGGCCAAAGGATCCCCATGCCAGTAGAGGTGGCTGTGAGGCTCTGGGAATGAAGTCCCCAGTAGAACAAGTGACATTCGAAAGGAGCTGCCCCTGCATGTAGCTTGACATGCAAAACTGTCCTCCTGAAATGAGAGCTTGGAGACGGAGATAGTACAATAGGAAGCTGGAGTTCTAAAGTTTATGCTACTCACATACATAGGAATTCCAGACGGGCTCCAAACAGTAAGAACCTGGGGTACATGCAAGAATAATTAAGCAGTCCTGGGTATAGAATGCCCACAGACAATTATCCAAGATAAACTAGGGTATGCAAATAGATGGAAAATGAATAAGAAATACAGGAAGTAAGGAGACGACTCAAGGAGGGATGCCCTAGAAACAGAGAAACTTAAAGATGCTGTCCCAAACCACAGAACCTGGTGTTTCCTCCTACAGCTCACAGCCTCTAATTCATGGACATGGCCAAAGCACAAAATCAAACAGATGGGGATATTTCTCTCCTCTTAAGAAAGATACATCTTCACCCTGGACTGGAGGGTCTGAATTTCTTTCCTAAAGACAGGCCTCAGCACACTCTGTGAGTAGCACCAGGAAGACTTCCCCTCCTATTCATACTGTGCAGGGCACTGGTGAGAACTTCCTCCAAACCCTTCCCTTGATCTGAGGCCAAGACAAAGCAGGAATATGGTTAGAAGTGGTGGCTTCCCTCCTGGAAGTGCACAGTGTTGTCTTGAAATGGGTACCAACAGCCCCTCTGCAACCTTTTTCTTGATGTTTTCCAGAAAATCCTGGATCTTGCGAGGCCTTCATCTTTGTGAAAGGCAGTGTAGCCTAGCCTGTCTGGCTGTCCGTCCGTTAAAGAACAAGTTGGGATTTCATAAAACCACATGCACTGATAACTCACAAAATACAGTATTAGAGGCAATGAGAGCAGACAGCAAAGGGAGCAGACCATGTCTGCTGAAGGCTGAGAACCCAGACATTATCGTCTACAGTCCTAATGCCACTTCTGGGGGATGCCATTGTCGCCACTCATCTGTTAAGGAAGCTGAGACTCAAAGGCACTGACTAATTTTACTAAGGTTCAAAAAAAAAAAAAAAAAAAAAAGCTGCAAAAGGAATGAAGCAAGCACTAAAGGAGACACCTGCCTCACCTTGGCGGGCACCAAAAATCCAGAAAGTGGCCAGAGAATGACACCTGAAGGTAAAGCCACATCCACTACAAAGTGTGTGCTTTGGAAACTTCTTGCAGGTCGACTAAGAAATGGAAAACTATCCCGCATTCAGTGCTGGATGACTTTAACATACACCTGTGTATACCTATGGGATATACCTCCGCCTAGGCTTCAGGGGCTGGTGAGTCTTAGCCATTATATAAATATATGGGATGGACCATCATCCAGGCTTTGGAGTCTATTGACTCTTAACACACACACACACACACACACACACACACACACACACACACACACACACACCACAGGGTAGATTTGAGTCTTAGCCATTATATAAATATATGGGATGGACCATCATCCAGGCTTTGGAGTCTATTGACTCTTAACACACACACACACACACACACACACACACACACACACACACACACACACACACCAGGGTAGGTTGATATTTTCTGAGCTTCAGGGGCTGGTGACTAGCCTTCGAATTATGTGTCACATGTTTAATTATGTGTCACACAACTCCTGTGTGTGGAGTGAGTTCCTGCCAGCACTTACCATAAATTCTGTAAGTTTAGAGAAAATTATCGGGGCCCCAAATATTGAATATGATATTTTGGATGCAAGCCTCAACCTCAATCCCAGGAGCCTGAATCACCCATTGTCTTTCAGATGCTTGCTGATTACCTCCAGAGGCCTAGCATTGGTGGGGTACGGTTCCTAGTTTGTGTAACAATAGACCTAGGCCCCTGGGTGGACACACACCCATCATGGGGGCTGGTGGAACATTCCTGGAAACTAGGGAGAGACTAGTGAGGACATGCAGTTTTAGGGGTGTCTCTAGGATTAGAGGAAATATTTGATATCAGCTTTATACATGATAATTGATGTCTTCTACCAGCATCCCCATTTTGGGAGAGCTATTTAAGAGGATGCTTGAATTAACCATGAACTCCAGCGTGGACTGAGCCATCTTTCCAGCCCTTAACATCACTCCCTGATGTGTTGTCTTCCCACAGGATGCCTGGCTGTGTGGAACGCAAGGTATGACACTTGAGAAGGACAGAGGCAGCCTGCCATTCATCCCTGCCACACACTGGTTCTGCAGCCTCAGACACATTGCTCAAATTCAAATGCCATGTGCCCAACTTCTCTTAACATGGTGGAGTCACCTACATGACCACTGTGAGACCCCACTGTGAGACCGCAGGTGCCTGGGACAATGCCTGTCATGTGGTGTCTCACTGGCACAAAGGTGATTTCCCCATGCCTCCAAGGTGTGGAGAATCTTTTGACCCAAAAGGCACAGAGTCTCGAGGCAGTCTTCCAGGGCCGAGTTCATCTCTTACACTGAAAACCTTCTTTAAAAATCATGAGGCATGTGAAAACTAATCGATTCTGCTAATTCCAAAGACTTATAGCCTTTCTCAATGGTCATTTTCCATTGAAAGTACTTCTAATTATCAGTTGGCTCGATGAGTAAAATGTAGGTGCTGCCAGCCAGACACGCCCTACGATTCCATCAGCAGGATGTAAACTAAAGAGAATAAAAGCATAGTTAGTGTTAACACGGTTCCTGTGGCCTGCCTCTTCTCATGTGCAAGAACCACAATTCAAAAAGCACCGCGGAACCCAACTACAAACCACACACATGGGTTAGAAGTAGCTATGGGTCCACAGGTTCTTTGTTTAAGAGCTAAAGTACTCTAGTTCCCAGGACCACACTCGTCTAGACTTAATGATGGCTAACAACTGGAGGCCGCTTTGTAGCTCACAAAGCCTTTTTATGTGATCTGTGATCTTCACAATAAACATGCGTGTTCTTCAGAAAGAAGTGGAACTTTCAGGGGAGGGAGAGAGGGAGCTGACGTTGTCCAGTCACCTGTTGAGGCAGTCGCGCAACAAGGTGACTTTGCTACTGGAAAGCTCAACTTGGCTAGGCTAACTTGCTCAGAGAGAACCATGGGAGCACCAGAGCAATGCCCACACTCAGGGCCCTAGACCTTCCCTCCCACAGCTGCACAGAGCCAGGCTCCCAGAGGCCCACAGTAAGGCTCCACTGCCATCTTGTTTGCAGCTGTCTCCTCACCATTTGGTTCCTGAGGAGGCTTTGAGAGGCACACCCAGAAGTGTTCTTCTTTCTGGTGTGAAGCAGGGCTTTCCCATGAGCCAGCAAAGACCCTACCACAGTGTGAGCCTAGGCAGACCAGCTGGAGAGCAGAGATGTAGCTTCATAGGGCTCTCATGTCTCAGAGTTGAAGAAAACCTCAAAAGTAACATGATTTTTTTTTTTAAGTTTTTTTGTGAGGCGAAACACCTCAGCAGTAAAAATCAAAATAAATGGCACCACTCAGGTGTTTTTCAACCATCAGTCCCCTTGAAGGCCAGTTGCCCCAACTATCTAGGAGCAGAGGGTGTGAACTGTGCCAAGTCGTGACAGTTCACATGACCTGCTGCTTTGGGAGATCAGCAGGGCTGGGTGAGGCAAGATGCTCCAGTGACTGGATCCCATTCCCCAAAACATTCTAAGTTACTAAAGTGGTACCCTGCTAACTCCCACTGGCGTAGCTGCCCGGGGTTAGAGTTCTAAAAATTCCCCAATTGTGGCACCACAATGCCGTTATAGGATTATTAGTTCATGGGTTATTACATGTTCAATTCATTTAAAACACAGCAACATGGAAGATAGATAAATGAACTTCAGAGTATGACCTGATCCTCATTTTATTCCTCAGAGACAGGACAAGGTAGTCAAGAGAACTAGAGGGTGTCCTTCATGATGGCTGCATGTGCATGAATTAAATTGAATGAACACTGGGTTTCCTCACAAGCAGAACTTCCCTGGCCAGTGGGGAGACACGAGATGCTGTTCACGGCCTGCAGAGACTTCCTAGTGTACCGTGCATGACAAACACCAGACAACACTTCCCCTTCCCCAGCAGATGTGAGAAGCTCGACCGGCGCTTTACATTGCACCAGCACACCAACAATTCTTTCTGAACAAACTTGCACCTGGAGATACGCTCCAAGTCTCCAGAGATAGTTTTCTTCTGGCTCTGTAAGTTACCTTCTAAAGCGGGCATGCATGAGCAGGAATCCCTGCTCACAGTTCACAGAGGAAACAGAAATGGAATAAATAAACACATAAATAATAAATTAATAGCAAGAAGCCTGAGCTTGGAGGCTGTGCGCGAGTCCAAGGGCACACTTACATTAGCACAGTGCAAGGCCAGGGCACAGAAGACGGCGAACATCTTGAAGTTGTTCTCGTCCGTCTTGGAGAAGGCACTGCCGCTGATCTTGTTCACCATCTGCACCACGCCAATCACGCTGCCGCGGCTCACTATGGGCATGCATAGAATGTTGCGTGTGGTATAGCCCGTGTACAGGTCCACCTCCCTGTGGAAGTGGAAGAAACAGCACTGTCTTTGGAGCAAAAGACCAGTGGGGTGGGGGAGCAGGGGAGACAAAGAACACATCCCGCCATACATCTCAACACCGCCTTTATAGTATAGCTGGTGTGTATGTGTTACCTATGGCTGGAATGGCACTGAGGATTCAGTAAAAATGAAAGTGTGTTATTATTAAAACATTTTCACAAACACCCAAGCTTGTTTGATCTTGTTTACAACAGTTTTCTGCTGGAGGCTCCTGGCCTATGGACTTGGCTCTCAGCATTGGGGATCATCAAGTAAAACAGACAAGGTAGGTGATTTGGGGGCGGGGAGAATGCAGGAAGTCTTATGTCTTCCTTTAAACTTGGCCATATTTACGAGACTGGTAACTTGCGTTTTAAATGGGAAATATTCACATTTAAGATTTAGAGCAGGAGTGAGCAGCCATGCCTATCACCCAAGCACCACCCAACCACATTCATCTGTGGGTGGGTGTTCAACACGATCCAGGAACTGGGATCATGGAGCAAAGCTCCTCGATATCGTGTCCTGCAGAGCTGCAGAGAGGAGGAGGGTTTGCTGACTCCTCATCTGAGGAAATGCTTTTAGAAGGAGAGACTGGGTTCCCCAGAATCAGCCACAGAACCAGCACGGGGGTGTGCATGAGTCCTCCGTGCCTGGCTTTCCTTGTTTAACCATCCAGGCCTCATTGCTGATCCGTAGTCTCCACCGAAAGCACATTTCATGTGTATATTCTCCACTTGATGGACAAAGTCAATGGTTAATCACTAGCTACCAGCTGTCACAAGTAAGGCTGCTGGGAAAATTTGCATCTGAGTGCCTGTGTGGACAAATGATTTCGTTTTCCTTGGAGTGCATGTGTAGGAGTAGGGCAGACTGGTTGATCACTCGTGGTCAAAACCGTACCACTCTTTTCCCAAGAGGCTGTCTGATTGTCTACTCCCACCAGCAAAGTGGGAGGATCCCACTTACTCCACGGTCCTCTCCCTTCCACCCTGATGCCAATCGTAAAATCTCAGCAGCTTGCCCTGGTGACACCACAAGATGCCTGCCAAAGCTGGGCCCTGTACACTCTCCACGCGCTGAGTGGCCATGGACACAGCCTTTCTGGTGAGGCAGCCAACATGCTATGTCCTTCATGGGGGCAGGGGGATCCCATACAATCTAAATATTAAGATGGTGATGTCACATGCTCTGCCAGTGTCTTCCTCAAGCTGATGGCTGAATTTTTTATTTTCCAAACAGTCTGATTCGCAGAATTTACATAAAGATTTTTTTAAATGATGACAAATAATTTCAATAAGTAAGGACCAGCAAGCTTGTCTGGGGAATCGTAAGATTGCTGGTGTTTTCAACTTGTTGGCAAAACGTTACTAGAACACCGCTGTGGTTCTATATGAGTCTTGCATGTCCCACATCCATCATTCATCACAGAAACTATTTCCAGAACACTATACTGCTTTTAATGTAAGTCACGAGTATGTATCCACTAAACACCATCGTCACGTATCTGAAATAACACTCTAACAGCCTCAGCATCCACCTTATGACTTCTAATTTCAAGGGATTGAATAAAACATATACTTTGATTTCAAGTTCTCCAGAGGCCGAAATGAATAAAAAAAAATTCTCAATGGCCCATCTTAACATTTCACTGGAAGGGACATCCCAGTTGTGGGGCTTGTTCAACTCCTGCCTTGTGTGCAGTGGAGTTTCTAGTGCTCTCAGGGAAAGTATCTGCAGTTCTGAGGAACACTTACAAGTCGGCGTTCTCATCCCCACTTAAAAGAGGCAAAGAGAGATCGAGTACCTGGCCCTAGTTCTGTCTATGGAAGATAAATGACAGGGCCTTAACTCAAAATCAGACATGGCAATCTAAAACCCAATTCCTCATCCCCGTGTGGCAACCGTGAACAGTGAGACAGAGAGCAGTGTGATGAAATCATGACACCGCCACCAGGAGAAGCGACAGCTCTGTTGCTGACACTCCATGGGGCCCCAGCAGGGAATAACCTCAGAGTGTGTTCTGTAAGTGTCTGGTTTACTCTGGCCACTGATAACAGGCTGAGACAACAGACTCCTTCTAAGAGGCTTCAGCCATGGAACCTCAAGGGAGAAAATGTCAAACTCCCTTCTCACCTGTTAAAACGTGGGTCAGCGTAGGCATCCGGGATGTTTAGGACTTCCCCTGTTCTCGCCACTTGGCCAGCAATCCCCTTCTCAATTGAAAATCTGCAGAAACAACAAAAAAAGAGAGGGACATGATAATTAGATAGTGTTGTCACAAAATAGTTACGAAGCATTTCGCTAATGTTAAATGTTGAACTGAACCTTTAAGTACACAGATTAATCTTACATTTATGTATGCTAAAAAAAATCCTGTAAAATACATCAAAGGGAATCAGACAAACACCCAACAGTGCTAGCTCAGAACCTGGTTTGAAGATGTAACACATAATAACTTGAGAATGTAACTGAAAAGGAAAACTCTCTGCTAGTCTCTAGCACTGGCCACCAATAATCTCCCTACATCAGCAAATCGCCTCATTGTTTATAGTGTGTGCATTTTACAGAGAATTTCCTGCACAGTGGGGCTTACTAGCTTGTACACAAAAAGCCAGGCTCCAGCTCCGTTGACCGTCCTGAACACAGGACATGAAGTATCTGTTGTCTGTAACCCATGGACCACACAGAAACTGTACCAAAGCATTTCCACATCTCTAATTTGCTCATTTAAAAAAAAATAATCAGAATCCAAACATGAACTGATTATACTTGGTTATATTTTTTGTAATAAAGCATCATACTGGCAAATACTTTTCACATTAGTGTATTATAATCACACACGCGTTTATTTCAAAATTCAGTTTCTAAAGAATTGCATCTACAATTCACACTAGGAGTTTTCAAAACCTCAAAAGGGTACTGACCCAACATAGGATTAAAGTATACCCAAAGGACCAACACTGCGTGACGTGCAAAGCCGCCATCTTCCCGGTTCTCTCATGCACACATTAGACACCACGAGCCGTGCCAGAATCGATTCATCACACACACACACACACACACACACACACACACACACACACACACACACTTGTCTAACTCGGTCTGAGAGCTGTACGGATGGGAACATCCCTTCCACTCTTGGTGGCTGTTTCTCTACAGTGAGCAGAAGCCCACAGTGCTGGAGGCCAGCATCAAGCAGTCCTTGTAAAGTCATGGCCAGTCACAGCCTGGTTCCCTTCACTCCTGCTCTCTCTGCTTGTAAACAGGAGCCACTGTTTCCACAGTTAGATTAGCATCAGTGGTGTGGTTCCAGCAAAGCCCAAACTTTAGCCAAGAAAAAACAATTTAACTGGGTGACTGTAAAGCAGACTGGCAAGTCTGGAGCTAGAACCAAACTGAGAAAGGAACAAAATGTAAGTACAGCCCCCCCTCCCATGTACTCTGACGGTGCTTTTATGTCAGCATTATGTGACTATGTAACGCAGGATCTGTCCACCCTAAGAAACAGAAGGAAGTGCCAGGGGGCAGAGTGGAATTTTTTAATTCTGTGGTGTTAGCTCCAGAATATGATGAAGTAGCCAAATGAAAAGCATTAATTAGTGAGGACACAGTGTTGCACTCGAGAATTTTGTAGCGATATTTGCACACAGGAGCAAGAAGAGGCAAATGTGGAAAGGGTCTTCACTTGTGCATATGAAGTTTGTCTCCTCCACCACCTGTTAGTGCTCCCTGCAGGCTTCCAGGTTGTGACAAGACTGAGCCACCAGGGCTCCACCAACAAGTAAAGGCCATCTGTCCATTTAAATGACAGTAGCTGCCAGTTCAGCAACCAAGAAGGCTTTCGTTTTTGAAATGCAGTAGAAGAGTAGCTGATTCAACCAATGGCAGGCCAGGCCCTGGAGGTGTTCAAGTCATCAATTTCCTCTCCTCCGGGTCAGTCCTCACAGGTTGGGAAGCAGCAGGGGTTGAGTTGGTTAAGTTCACCCTGCTCCTAGACACAGGAGCCTGCCTGCCTGCCGGCTGCAACTGGAATGACCTTTACCTACCTGGGAGCACTAGTAAGTTTTTCCAACATGATTTCCAAAAGGACCGCCTCCGGAAGACGGCATTTCCAGGAGTGACGCTAACGCTTCCTAGGCGCGGTTTCGCTGGCACTGCAATGTCATTCCCAGAAGCACTACCTTCAGGAGGCGGGTCCTGGTGGGAATGATACCACAGTATGACAAGTGTTGTCAGCACACCTGTGAATAGGCGCAGAGAAGTGGGCGACAGAGAGACCTGCGCATTGGCATCAGAGCCAGGGCAGCCACTCCAGCTGTACCTGATCTCCTTGGTCTTCTTGAAGACAGGTTTCCCCTCCTTCTCCTCCCCAATGTCAAACAGGTCTGAGTACAGCTCCTTATTCTTGTGGTCCACCTGGAAGAGCGCGCAGCGGTCGGCGTTCACTAGATTTTTTGCATATATCTGAGACAAATGAGAAGCCAGAGTAAACTGATGGAAAACGGAAGCTGGTTACAGTGAGCCTTAGCTTGAAGCACACTATACTGGGGAGGGGAGTCAGTATTGTGCGTAGAGGAGTTGGTGAAGCACAGTGAATGCTATGTGGATGTCTGTCTGTGTGCTGATCCCAGCAGAAACGACAGGAACAAACAGTGCATGGGTGCCCACGCTCATGTGGGTGCTGAAATACTAGCGCACTGTCCTTGAGCTGCTGACCAGCCTCTGGCTTCCCTTCCTGAGAATCCTCAAAGCTCTCTGAGCTTTTTCCAGGAGCTTCTCGGGATGCTCCTGGCCTCTTGGGTTGTGTCAGTCAGCACTATGGCCAGCACACACTCAGTTTGGTTGACTGGTTATCAACAGTGACTGGAAAAAACATGGAATACTCCAGGCATGGAAGCATATGCCTTTAATCCCATCATTCTGAAGGCAGAAGTAAATGGAGCTCTGATTTCTGACCACCAGGACTACACAGTGAGACCCTGACCGAACAATAAATATATGAAACAGACACTGGACTGTGCTACACAAGGAGATGACATTAAAGTTCAGGAGCACCAGGGTTTCTAGCCCCTTCTGACCTCTCAGCTTTCTGCACCTGAGGCCGAGGCTCTGAGGGGAGGAAGGGCCTGTGAGAGCCAAGTCCCAGAACACTTGGCAGGGGGGTCACAAGATTAGGAAACCACAGAAAGCTTGGTCCTAAGAGCCAGAGTGTCACCCAGGTGGAAAAGCACCACCAAGAACACACAGGCTGAGTCCAAAACAGACATTGCTGTTGGGAGGCCAGACAGTAACAGCCCTTTTTCCACCTACTGGGCTAGCTTCAGAAACAAGCAAGGCAAGTGTGTCCATGCATTTACCCCAACTAAGAAGAAATACGGATCTGTTTCTCCCTTATTTCCTTTCTTAGAACCCGTGTGTTAGTATGGGCAGGTGTGTGTGGGTATCCAATGAGGCCAAGAGACTGTTGGATCCCCTGGTTGGGAGCCACCAGACACGGGTGCTGAGCAATGGACTCTCCAAAATCAGCCAGTGTTCCTAACTACTGAACCTTAGCACCAGCTCCTCATTTTCACTCCTTAGTTTTTATTTATGCCTTTATATTTTGGTTGTTGTAGTCATCTTCTAGCTTATGTCCAAGTAGCCTTTTGTTAATGTCTTTTCCCTCACACCCATCCTAACATTTCCTACTAGTTCTAATTGTCTTGCCTGTGTACTCTCCCTCTCATTCCTATTTTCCCCCTCTTCGCCTTTTCCCAGTCCATTTTCTTCCTACTCTATAACTGTTAGTATCCTTCACTCAGAAATGCCACCCACCACATTCCCGCCAGCAGCACCCGATGCCCTAGTCTCTGAGGTGTGTGAGTCTTCCACTGTGTGTGTTTTCACTAAGTGCTCTGCCAAGGTGGTTTCCTGTCAGTCAGTCTCCCCCTAAACAGCGATGGTTACATACAACCAGGTGAAGACAACACACTGGGAAGACTCACATAAAATAAACAATGGGAAAGTAAGGCCTGGAGGAACACCCACATCCCAACTGAAGGGGGTGGGGGTGCATACAAAAACACAACAATGAGAAAACCAGCCACCACAATATCTCCTCCATAGGCTCCCAACTCCCCAGCATGCAGACTGAAGACAACAGGGCAGCTGAAACACTAAGGAACTATTTAAGGATCTGCCTCCCCAACCGATCAGTGATCAGATGCAGGGCTCCAACCAGCAAGTGAACGAAGGGCTGTGACTCGGGAGCTAGACAACACAGCTCACAAAGTGGGTGAGGGGTGAGTGATATGGAGGACGACAAAGTCAAACATGGAAGGAAAAATACAACAGGGAAGCAGATTCTGGGAAAGAGTCAGCCACCAAACAAACAGTGTAAAGTGTTGTCAATGCCCGGGACCTACAGAGGAGGGAGCATGCACAGAATGGGAGGGGGAGACACACATCTAGAAAAACTCAGAGAAAACTGAATTAGTGAGCAGGAACAATGCTGAAGAGGCTGAGCTGAGAGCCCACAGGTGGAAGGGGAGCTGAGACAAGAACCTCAGGGCACAGACGATGTAACCATTCGAGTCATAGGTCAAGGAACGGGTCTCAGAGCACCCACTTCCAGAGGAGGGAGGTTGAGACATAATTCAAGTAGACCTACTTTTAGGATCAGCATTAAGGGTGAGAGACTTAATTCAAGTAGGGGGGGCTCCCTAATGTCCTAATGTGACTCATACAGAAAGTGCCTTGGAGACTAGGAAGTGAAAACAAGCTTTCCCCACGTACAGCCCTTTAAACAAGGCTCTCCCGGAGTCCTCCCCAAGATTTCAATGAGGTGAAGAAAGGCAGAGGATCTCAAGGCTCCATAACTCATAACAAATTAACACAGCATATTCATCTAATACACACACAACGTCACACCATGAGTAAAGATCAAGACCATAATGGTTTAAAGGAAATCACAGTCGAAACCAAAAACACCTACCATGATGTGTTCAAGCAGAGAGTCTATGGCAACTATGTTATCAAAGTATGTCCTGAAAAAAACCAAACAGACAAGCATAAATCCCATGAGTAACCTTGCTGATATCACAGTGCATGTTAAGCTCTGAACCCATTTTATGAGTTCCACATTTAAATAAATGAATACACAGGTCATTTAAAAAAAATCCATGAAGCACTTGCATTGCCTCAGTGCAGACTAATTCCAGTGGAGTCTTCCAGTAATTATATCATTGCTCAACGGAAAGGAGGAAGAAAGGCTGCAATGAAAGCTAAATTGGGTTGGATTCAGGTCAGCCAAACTTAACGTGCTCATGAATGATCTCATGAAGACAATCTTTAAGCTTATTATGTCCACCAATACAATAATAATATGCATGATCACTGGGGGGAAAAGGAGAAGAAGTTAAATTGCACTGAGAAATCAAAGGAGTTGACCCGAGAAGAAACACCATAATGCAAGTGGTCAGGACGCAGTGGCCTTTAGTTGTTCTATTTAATTACAGTAAAACACATGTTCAGTGGTAGGCGTGTGTCGCTGGGGTGGTGAGACATCCACTAACATGTAACCTCCAAAGATGAGCTAACAGCCACTATCACAGAACATATTAAAAATGACTCCACATGGGCTTCGCTGGTTCTGTGAGAATGTCAGCGGTGCTCTGTAATTCAAGTGGCGTATGGCGATAACCATGATACCGTGATTCAGGATGCTCTCCTTAGCTTGAGAGACTGAGGACTTCACTGCATTGTGAGCTCTCGCCTAGGAGAGGAAAGTGCTGGATGAGCGAGCTCTCTACTTGAGCAGAAGACAGGATACCATAAGGTGTCACATGGGCATTCAGTTGACTTTGGGACACTTCCCAAAAATACAGATGTGTTTACCAGACAGAAGCTCTATGTCCCTTTCTGTGTGCTCTGAAGTTAACATCATTGTGGTCCTGTCACATTTGGCAAGGTTCAACCACTTGAAAGTAGAGTTGGCTGAGCCATCACTAGAGCTACAGATCTCTAATTCCAGATTCCAGAGAACATCTGCAAAGTTGAGCGCTGGCAACTTCAGCCTGAGCATGCAGCAGGGTTCCCGTGTGCACTGGTGAGAAATTAAGCAGGACCAGCAGGGACAGAAAAACCCAGTACCTGCCTGCCACAGTGTTGCTGGAGGCCTGGGAGGAGCAGTGACCTCCCAAATTTACTAAACTGGTAGGAGAGCGTGACCTGGGTTACCATATCCTGGGCTTTAAGGTTTTGTTATTAATGAGGTGGGCTGTGTAGATAGAGGGTCCCCAGGAGCATGTAAATCCAACACAAACGTGAAATTTAATGAACGTCCATAAGAGCTTTCACTACCAACCCAGGGACTGTTGCTTCTAGCACACAAGCTGACCAGGGATAAATATGCAATTCTGTAATGCACAGCATGAGTGACTAATGACTCTTCCCAGAATGTGTGTGTGCCCATGCAGCAGATGGAAGTGGGTCACCAGAGGGACCTGCACTTTACACCACTGTCACCAACTGAGGCCAGGAGAAGCCCTGGGGGAACACTTACTTTGATACATCAAGCAGGAAGTCATTCAGTTCAGTCTGTTTGGCGAGACCTCTGCACACCTGCCACGTACACAACAGTTGTTAGTCACTCTGGAGCTCTGCTGACTTAGGGACAAAACCCAGAGTGCTTTTGACACAATCACTGTCAGTCTTACTTCCTGAAAAGTGCAACTTGCTAAACACTGTTCCTTTGAGTGTTGCCTCACTTGATCTCTGCCCAGCTCCGCCATCTGGGACAGACACGCCCTAACTGAGGGAAAGCAGCTGAGAACAGCGCACAGACACTCTCCTCCACCCTGAATGAGTTATATACCTACTTCTACTCTCAAATTTGTTACCTGGTATGGACTCAATGCACTTTGTGGCCCACGGAGACCCTGCTACTCATGCCATCGCCCTGCAATTACACTTTACTTCTTGCCATGCAAAAACCAACCCAACACGTATGTATTTGTAACAAGTGATTTAAGATGGTTTACAAATGAATATAAGGGATTACATGGGTGAAATTGTTCGGATATAAAACATTATATCCAAAACCAAAGCTTCAGATCACTTGCTAGCCTCGGCTCTAGCCCCCACTACTGTGAGAACACCCCAGACTTACCTGCACCTGGTGTATTGCTACAGAAGCCCAAGCAAGATTGGCTGTTGCAACCTACAAAACACACATATGTGTATATCAAACAAACTTGATCTCAAAAGCTTATCAGGTTTGCACAGCAAGCCATTTTACCTGCTGAGCCACCTCACCAGTCTACATTATCTTCTGAGGGTATTAAATAATATTTTTCAGTTTGACAAAGATTAACTGAAATGCCTCTACTTGCCTCTTTAAGCTAGTGTGGGATCCCTAAGAGGGGGGAAAAATACTGTGTGTATAGTCTATGCATTAAGTACTAAAGCTTATACTCCAATTACACTTTCACTTTTGTGTCCCTGTGTGTGTGTGCATGCAAATGTATGCACATGTGTGAAGGCCAGAGAAAAATCTCAGAAATGTCTGCTTGCTTTGAGGCAAGATCTCACCAGCCTAGAATGCAGCAATTGGGCTGCACCAGCAGGGACAGAGTCCCAGGGACTCATCTGTCTCTGCTCCCCAGGGCTGACTACAGACACACACATTGCCACATCTGGCTTTTTAAAGAGTTCCAGGGAACCCACTGGGATGCTCACACTGTCCACTGAGCCCCCTTCCCTGCTTGTGCACACTTGCACATGTACCCACCCACCCACCCATACACACACACACACATATCCTTCCTGGGCACAAGGTGCTAACTCTCGGTGTTAGAAACAAAGGAGGAAGTAACAGCAAGGGTGGACAGGATGCAAGTGTACTGTGTAGGTGAAAGGACAGTGAAGGTTGCCATGGGAGCACACAGCAGGATAGAAAGAGGGACACAGGTCCCATATGCAGGAGGCACTGGGGGCAGGCAGTACAAGGTGACAGGGACTGCACTCCACACCACAGGAAGGCAAGACTTCTTCATGGGGGCCACAGGACACCCCAGGAAACAAGGAGGCAGGTCACTCAGGAAGTGGGTAGAGCCAGACAGACCAGTGCAGGAGAGGCATGAGGTGGGGATATGGTGTGTGTGTGTGTGTGTGTGTGTGTGTGTGTGTGTGTGTGTATAGTGTTGATGAGTCAACTCCAACCAGAGCATGGAGCGTGCATGTGACTAAGGAAGAGGACACGTTTAGGAAGACACGGGACAACCAGGATGCATTCCTGCACTTGGCTTCATAGGCACCAAAGCACATTTTTTGTTAAGATATTTTTATTCAGAAAAAAAAAAGAAAAACAGAGTGTATTTCTAATTTAGCCAGTCTCCTCTAAAAACAGCTGCTCAGGAAAACAGTTTTTTAAGAACACAAGGCTGTTCACAGCCAAATGCGGTCAGGCAAACATGACTTCACTATTCATTCATGTATTCTCTTAACACCGGTGGGTGCCACCAATGAGGGCAGGATGCTGAAAGGCATTTTTTTTTAATGTTTTTTAAAATGTGTTTTTAAAAGACATTTTTAAATGCTAATTTTAACTCATATGCATGGGGGGGTTGTCTACATACCACATGTATGTATGTCAGAAGATAGTGTCAAAGCCCCTGGCACTAGAGTTACAGATGGCTGTGAGCTATCACTTGGGTGCTAGGAGAATTGAACTCAGGTGCTCTAGAAGAACAGCCAGTGCTCTTAATGCGTGGGCCATCTCTCTGGCTCCTACTGAGCAGCATTTGAGCCTTACCTCCTGATGACTGAGACAGAAGGCCTCCTTGCCCCAGTGCCTGTACAGCTCAAGGATGCCGATCAAGTCTCCAATGGCAGTGACGATGGGCAAGCAAAGAACAGACTGGATTCGGGTTCCCGATTCCAGGCCAGTGCCTCTCGGAAATCGCTCATCCTGGAAATCAAACAAGGGAAGACTCGAACTTTAGCATCTACTTCGGCATCTTAGCTTTGCGTGTATGCACACTAGAGGTGAACAATGGATGCTGGTTTCATGGGATGATAGCAAGAAAGGTTATCGGCAAGTCTGGTACTCGTTCCCTCGCCTTCTCTGCCAGAGCCACCCCAGGGTTCCCAGGTGTATATGTGCACACAGCACAGGCAAACACCGTGTGAAGAGAAGTGTAAGTAAACATGCCTTCTGTTCTGTTCTTAAGGTCATGCTATTCCATCAGAGTTGAACTTCAAGAGCCCAAATTATGCATTCAAGTCATCCTTTATCAATTATTTATACCATCACAATGATAATTTTAGTGTTTTTTTTCTATCTTGGCTAAAATCTCTACAAGCCAGCACAGAGAAATGGAAACGATTAATACCAAGGTAGCAACTCTATGTACTTGGCTCCCTACCATCTGCAGGAAGCTAACTGGATACAGGAAACCCTCTGTGAACCAAGAGCAACATGAGAATATTCCTGTGGCTTTTAGACTGTGAAAGCACTCAGAACAGAACATTTACAAATGAGAATCCACAGGGCATCTACCCTCACTCTAGACCCTTTCTTTCTTTTTTCTTCAATTAAGCAACAGGTAATTTATTATAGGTAAATCATTGGCAGAAGAAAAAAGGAAAACAAAAACCAGGTTCCAAGTCTCCAGTTCACCAGCTTCACTGAACAGTTTTCTTCCTGTCTGTGTTATTGCTATTATTTGTCATCAATGAAGCCCACACCCCCTGCAGTGACATTCATCAGACATCTGCCTGAACACACTCGAGAGCCTGAGCCAAGGGTCTATCTGTCATCTGTCTTGGCAGTTGCATCTTTGCTAGTACCCTCTGGCACTGAGGAAGCTCGGGTTGCGCTCAGGCCTGTTGGTGTGACTGCTATTCTGGCTAATGGGAAAGCAGAGAAAGAGATGTCAACAGTGGTTTTAAAACTGCCATTCCTTGAGCCGGGCAGTGGTGGTGCACACCTTTAATCCCAGAGGCAGGCAGATCTCTGTAAGTTTGAGACCAGCCTGGTCTACAAAAGCTAGTTCCAGGACAGTCTCCAAAGTCACAGAGAAACCCTGTCTCGAAAAACAAAAACAAACAAATAAACAAAACAACAACAAAACTGCCATTCCTCTTCTGGCCTGGCATCATGAGACTCTGCCATGCTGGCCTCACAGGTGAGGTGTAAGAGACAGTGGCTGGAGAGCAGCCACACCTAACTTGTGGCCATCTGGCTTCTGTCTTACATTACCCAGAAGCCTACAAACCAACTTCAACAGGAATGGCTGTCCTTAAGACTCCTGAGAGCTGGCCACTGGCCACTGCAGGACACCTTTCAGACAGCACAGTCAGTCCTGCAGCTGTGTCAATGTGAATTAACCAAGCAGGCACAGTCTGTTTCACATGGGTATAGACTTCTCTTCCTGTTTAACCATAGTAGCACGTGTTGAAATAAGGGCTTTAGCTCATAGAGAGCACAACAGGTATAATTTTCTGAATATAAAGGTTAAACTATAAGCAAATTTATTTATTGATCTGTACCTCCTTTTAATGCTTTTATAGTTAATTTGGAAACAAATTAAATGATAAGATCAAAATAATATATCACCTTTCTTAATTAAATCCTCAGAACACGAGAGTCAAAGTGCCCTACCCCAAGGATGTCCTCCACAAGCAGTGTTTTCCTAGACTTGGCCACATAAGCAGAGATGGTGGTGCCCTGGGTGATGGGTCCTGCAGGGATGAGCCGGGGTTGACCTTCCTTTATCCCGGGTGGTGTGAATACACACAGACTCTAGGAAGGAGAAAAGAGGACAACGTTTTAGACGATCTCCTCTGTCTCTACCCAATATCAACCAACTCACAATGGTAGAGCATTACCTAATTAGGGCCTGTAAAGTCTGGGCGCCAATCACAGGAAAAGACATGGATGATACAAGGCTTCACAGGGGGCAGACAGGGAGCCTAGAGTGAAGTCTTACAGCCCTGCTTCACACAGAATGCACATTTGAAATCATAACTCACAAACATGAAGGCACAGGAACTCTCCAGTCAGCCTCCTCTTCTCAATGAGACATGATACGAAATAAAGATGCCGTCTTGCTACTGGACCCTCGACTCTGTCATGCCAGCCAATCAATGCCAAACCCAGGACTGAGTGAATGTCGTTGCCTTCCCAACATCTCGGAACACCGCTTTAAGACCCTGTCACTCACATTACTCCAGCTGGAACTGCAGATTTAGGGTACCATGAATTAAGAAGGTGCTGTCCTGCCCTCACAGCAAAGTCACAGCTAGTCTTAGAGATTTCTTCTATTAAGTGACTCTGGGCAAATATTTTTGGCTTCCGGCTTTTTTTTTCTAACCCACTCCCAAGAACGTTAGAAATGTACAAGGGAATATACAAATGTACTTAATGTAATAAGTATAAACTAATGAAATTCCGAAAAACATGGTACTATTTAAATGGTATAGGGAAATCTGCCATGCTGATTTCAACCACCCAGACTGTTTCACTGGCAAATGCACATTTCACACATTTTCTGGAACACATAATTCAAAGGTCACTTCATTCGTGGTATTTTATCTTAATGTTTATCTTTTTGTTTTTACTCTCAGACAGTTCAATTTTAAAGACAACTTTTAATTCAATAGGAGTGGGTGAAAAATTAAAAAAAAAAAAATCGAGGAACAAAAATCCATGTCTTTGTGCTATTCTCTGTTTTGACCACTAGATAGCAGTGCTAGGAAGCAAATTCAGATGGCAGCGGCCAAAAGGAATCAAGGCGCCAAGTTCCCAGGAATTTGTTGCAGGGAAGGCAAAGAGTTAGAATGTATTCCACAGCTGAATAAAAACATCACAATGAGAGTTAACTACCCATGCTGAATATAAAAACTGCAACACTTTTGGATTGCAGCTTTACATACAAACATAAACATTGTGTTTCCTTGCTTTTCCATTTTCCCTCAATTTGTACCCAAGAAACAACATCCTATGAATTGTATCCTTCATTGTTTCAGAGTAAAATTTAATAATAATAATGATGATGATGATGATGATGATGATGATGATGATAATGTAACTCAAGGCAAAAACCTATGCCCTTGAGCTGCTCTTTGTGCAAAGGTTACAGCTTAGAAACCCCAGTTGGGGCTATTAAGTGTTTCTTCTCAAGAGAGAATGATCTCCGCAGGCTCCACAAGGCAGCACAGTTCTCTGGTACTTAGCCAGTGCCGCCTAGTGATGCCACTCACCTCCTGGAGCTGCCTGTGTTGTCAACAACTGAAAACCGCTACTGTCTTTCTGTTAGGGGAGCAGGCAGACTGCTATACTTGTAAGTAGCAATGCATGAAAGATAAAGTGTATAAACATTGTTACAGCTTCATCATCACTGCAGACTCCTCTATGGAATAGGAAGTCCTTTCCCTGGCTGATCATTTCCTCCTGGAGAGACGCTCTGCTGGGCTGTGGCACCAGGTGGGGTCCCCAGCTCTATTCCCGACAATAAGCCGGTTCTGTTTTGCTCTTTAGTGAGCTGACTCAGCACGTTTAGGTTGTTTCTCCTCTTAACAGCCACTAGACAACCTCAGTAATCAATGCATAAGGATTCCACAGCCCCGTGGTATGCTTTATCTTAGTTCTTGTTAGCTTCTAGCTTCTGCTTAACTTTTTCTGCTTTGTTCGTTATCCCTGGTGAGAAGTACCTGAATTTTTAATTTGGTTAGCAGAACCAATTCCACTCACAAATTACACTTCTCATTGGTGTTGGTTTTAGAAATGAAGTCACCACTACTGGCCCATTTACAGAAAATAAAGCTTCCCAAGTGCAGAGTTTTGTGATTTGTCCCACCTTATTTAACCCTTGGCATCTGCTGATCAACTAAAGTCTCCTCGGCAGCCTGTTTGTTTCTGTAACTAAAACAGGTAATTTTTGTCCTGAAGTTGGTCTTGTTTTAGCCAGTCCTGAGTGGTGATGCATGCCTCTAATTCCAGCACGTAGGAGGCTAAGGCAGGATGAACACAAACTAGGTCAGATCCCAATGTGCCTTGAGCTGCAGACCAGCCAGTATTGAAGAGCAAGCCCATGTTGGGGGAAAGAAACTTCACTTCTTCAGATTCAGGCCAGTTCTCCATTTGGAGCTGAGTGCTGTGCAGAGTAAAAGATAAGGGTGTCCTTTATTCTTCTACATGCAGCTGACCAGTCTGACCAGCACCATTTGCTGAAGATGTGTCTTTTCTCTGGTGTGTACAGTATGTCTCTTTGGCAGAGATTAGGTAGCTGCTGGAGTACGTGGTTCTGCACGTGAATCCTCAATTCTGTCCCATAAATCCATAATTCTGCTTTTTATGCCAAGGAATCTTGTTTCCATTATTATAGCTCTGGAGTCAAACTTGAAACCTGGGATGGTATACTTCCAGCATGTCTTCTATCATGATTATGTATTCAGGGTGGTTTGGGCTAACCTGGGTCTTTTGTGTGTCCATAGGAATCTGAAGAGTGTGCTTTCAGGTTCTCTGAAAACTTATGTTGGAATTCTGGTTGGGATTGCACTGAATCTGTAGATTCCTTTTGGCAGGATGGCCATTTTCACTATATAAAACCTACTGACCATGAGCATGGGAGGTCTTTCCATCTTCCGATGTCTTCTTCACTTTCTTTCTTCAAGGTCTTAAAAGTTTTGAATCATACAAATTTTGCACTTGCTTGGTTAGAGTTATCCTGATTTATTTATTTATTTATTGTGACATGTATTGTTTCCTTGATTTCTTTCTCAGTCTGTTTATCATTTGAAGAGATAAAGGCCACTGTTAATTGTGTATCCTGCTACTTAGCTTAGAGTTTGATAGACTGTAGGAGTTTCCTGGTTGAAGTCTTTAGGGTCTTTTACATACAGAATCGAATCATCAGAAAATAAAGGTATCTGACCTTTTTCCTTTCCTATTTGTATCCCCTTTATCTCTTTTGTTTGTCTTGTTTCTCTGGCTAAGGCTTCAAGTACTACACTGAACAGGAGAAGTGAGAGTGGACATTCCCAAGTGACAGGCTTTGCCTTTATCTCTGTTTGACATGGTTATGGCTGTGGGCTTGTAATATACCACCTTTGTTGTGTTGCCATATGCCCCTATGATCCCAAGTTTCTTCAAGACTCTTTATCATCAAAAGATGCTGGGCTTTGTCAAGGGCCTTTTTTTTGCATTTAATAATAGGATCAGGTCCTTGAACCTGTTTATGTGAAAGACCATATACATTGACTCAAATAAAAAGCCCAGTAAGGGGAATGCATTAGGTCTTTTGGAGTTGTTGGACAGTGAGGTCCTAGACCCCCAAACATTACAGGCCATTGCCAATGTTTTGGTTAGCCTCCAGAACTTGATGGTAAGATCCTCTTGTTGAAAACCCCTCGTACTTGAGTCATAGTACATGGAGAAATCTTGCTGGCATTAAACCTAGAAGCCTCAGCACTACTGGCTACCTTTCATGGCACTAGAAGATGCTATGCATTCTACTAGGGAAGAAAAACAATCCACTTTCTTGCCTAAGTATAAACCCTGTGAACTACACTCACCATAGCTCTGGCAATATATGCGCCCTGGTGCAATAGTGGCATGAATGGGAGTAACCGAACACTTTCTGGTTGAATTTAACACTCATTACACAAGAAGGAACTCATGCCTGGTACTGTTATTTGGCCAAAAAATGAAGACTGGCCAGGTCAGAGGACCTGGGGCAGGTGTGTTTGGGGGGACACCTAATACTATTATTTGTTGAATGGACATAGCAATGTGGGTCCCCTAGTGCTTGCTTTCAAGCCTCAAGATTAATGTACGTATTAACCCTCATCAAATAGGTTTCTTTTTATGGTAGGGAGCGATTAACATAGAGGCCTACAATTTGTGGATATGCTAAGATTATGGAACTCTCAGCTCTAAATGAAACAGCTGTGTCATATCCTTTACCCCCCCCACCCCCCCCTCCGCAAATTTAGGGATCACTGTGGAAGCAGGGGTGGGGGAAACAGAGAGATTGTAAGAGCTCAAGGTAGTAGACATAGCCAAACCGTGTTTGCTGGATGTGGCAGTACCTTGTACACACAAATGTACAGCACCAACTGTTGTGTGCACGCGACCTGCAGGAGATGAAATCAACAAAAACTCAAAGTGTGCTTGGGGGAGAGGCTCATGAAGCCCCATCTGCAAGCAGAGAGGATCCGCCAAGGGCTGAAGGCTGCTGGGGGTAGAGCATCTGCCCCTGCTCCAGCACACTGTCCTATGTACACACTAAGCAGACCCAGTGGGTTTAGGTAAAGAACCCACAAAGGAGGGGAGAAACGGTGCACAGAAGGCAGATGAGAAACTGGAGGCGAGAGAAAAGGAGCTGGAGGCAAGAGAAAAGGAGCTGGAGTCGATCAAAAAGCATTATACACAGGTATGAAATTCCCAAACACAAAAAATAAATTTAATCTTTACAATTAAAAACAAAAAGCGAGAGCTACTGCAATGGGAGCCCACCACCTTTGAGAAACAACCACCTCAATTCTAAGTGGGATCAGATTGAAGAATTTCACTCTTGGAAAAAAAAAAGGTTTTAATCACCTAAAGAACCTAGAAAATGTGTATGTAATGTTTTTTAGTCGTGTGTATGTGTATGTACATGAATGCTTGTGTGTGTGTGTGCATACCTTCACAGACCAGAAAGGGCATCGGATCCCCTGGAGTTGGAATAACAGGTAGTTGTGCACCACCCAGTGTAGGTGCTGGGAACTGAATTCAGAACAGGAACGGCTCTTAACCAGAAAGCCATCTATCTATCTATCTATCTATCTATCTATCTATCTATCTATCTATCTATATTTGGGCTGAGAATAAAGAAAAAGAGTCTCCAAGAAACCTAATATGAAATAAATAAGGGATGCTGGGAGGTAACAAAACTCACAGCTGCCTTTTTGGGGGGAACCAACTGAAGTCTAACTGTGTGAGCCTCACAAGAAAACTGTAAGTAAAGCAGCTCTCTTGGGGGTGACGCAGAGCACCCACCAGCACACTCTGACAAATATGCATTGGTGGGCCACAGCTCAGTCATCACATGCCAAGGGGACAGGAAAGCAACATGAGGCCAGGAGATCAGATGACCTTGAAATTAGTCCTGAAAGGGGGGGGGGGACCTCCTCTGAGAGATTACAGTGCTGCAGTAGGATGTGTGAGGTTCTGTCCACCTCACTGTGATGGATATCCCACCCGGACAGCACAGTTAAGGGGCCCAGCTCTCGCTGGAGAGGGTGTGAGAGGAGCTTCAACATCAGGCGCAAACAGTTGGAAGAAGAATAGATACATTAGTACCCTTTTCTGGATAGGAAGGTAATGGTGGGGGCAGGGGCACATGAAACAAGTGAGCAGGCATGTCAGTACTGGAGAGGGGACCGTAAACAAAGGAGCAAGAAACAACTCAGAAAGAAGATGGAATCTCATAAGACTCCAGGAATCAAACTGGAAGAAGTAGAAGGTGAACTTAACTCCATCTAGGAATAAAAAGCCATCCTTGGAGGCTGATGGGCTGAGAAGATTGGGAAAGCAACAGGCTTTCAGTTGAGTTTAAGAGTCGGCAATCCATCAGCCTGAATCCACTGTAGACCAAATGTGACAATGAAAAACGGGCATGAAATGAGACCCATTCAAACAAATAGAACCCAGGGTTCCGACCCATCAGCTCTCCTGGAGAGGAGCCACAGGAAAAGCCTCGGGTGGAAGACAAAGACTCCAAGGGAAGGCTGAGATCAAGGCAAAAAGGAAAGAAACATCTGGAGGATTGAGAAGATCGTTTCCTGTGACAGGATGCCCTGGGAGAAGGAGGCTGTCCCTACCTGGAAGGCACTGGGTAACCACAGTCCTTATGCCCCTGAGTTTTCCTGCCAGGCAGATAAAATTTCCCCCTAAATGGAACTTTTGTTCCAGGAAAACATCAGGTAAACAAATGATCACAAAAAAAAAAAAAATTGTCGACTCCCAGATGGAAAAAGAAAATGCAAGATTCAAAGTGAAAGCAAGATGCAGTAATATCTGAGTTTCAGGTGAGAGGAGGCTATGCTCTGGCCACACATCCGGAGGCTCCAAGAGATGTTAAGCCACACCCAACACAGGTGCTGTGGTGCTGGAAGGAGTGGAGTTGTGAAAAATCTGCCCCTGAGAAGATCATGTGCGTGAACCCGCCCAACCAAAGGCTGAGAGGGCCTGACACCAGCACTCTCTCACCTCACTGAGAGAGACAGAGAGAGAAGAGATGCAGAATAATACAGAGAAGGCTGCACACACTAGAAGCCTTTCCCAAGTCATCTCTGAGAAGGCTAAGCATGAAGCCAACAACAGCAGCATGACTGACCAGAGGAGTCTGGGATTCTAACTGCAGTTAAGTTGGTCTCGTGCCTCCACGCCCCCCCCCCCCATGGCTTGCATGTCAGCCACATGGAGGGAGCCTCCAGGGTCCTTATGCATAGCTCTCCCATCCTCCGTGCATCAGTGGCGACTCAGACCAACGTCTGTCACACGTTTGTCCAGGTGAACAGCTGGTGTCATAGTCAGGGTCCAAGTTTTAGCAGAGAGGAGACCCGCTGGGTTCCCACTTGGGCCACTTGTGTACCTGATCTCAACAGACATGATCCTAGAGACAACTACACACCTGCACAGGCAGCCTTACAACCTTGGCCATCCCTGGGTGGGAGCAATTAGATGTGGGACCCCACTGAGTACACAGTGCTCGCACACCCAAGACATCTGCAGAGGCAATGGGCATTGTTGTAGTAGTTTTCTGATAGGAACTCTTACACGAGCAGGTGTCAAAAGACAAGTGCTTCGAGACTCATGAGGGATTTGAAAAAATCTTGGATCCTCTAGGCGTTTTGATAGGATGGTGGGTATCAGAAATTAGGGGGATGGGTGTGAAGAGGAGACTGGTCAGTGGACACTGAGGTAGCGCACACAAGAGCAAGAGTGCTGTGCTGCGGCACAGGGCGCTACATCACGGAAAGCCACTTGAAGGGATTTGAGTCCGTTCGCTACAAACACACGGCTTTGGCAGGAGGTCACAGCTGGCCGACTAGGGCTCGCTCACATGGCACAGCTCATGGATATGATCATTTTGTATATTTGCATGTCAGTTAGAATAAGATTTTAATTTTAAATTAAAGACTATCCCCAAAATTTGAAGAAAAAAAAAACAATTTTAAATGAGCAGGAAAAATGCAGCTATTTACTTTCATAGGTTAACCATCTTACTAGTACAGTCTCAAGCCTTCAAAGTTGACAGAAATCTGGATAACGCACTTTCATGAATACTCTTGTCTAACTGTTCCTGACTGACAGACACAGGGGAGGGGCTGGGGCTAGAAGGTCCTCACCGCATATGAGCTTTGATATCAGCAAGAGAGACATTAGTAAACTGTCACATCACACAGACAAGCAATGGCTGTGGACTGTGAGAGGACCAGTTATGAGGCAAGCCAACCAAGATCTGTATGCCCGCCTTCATTGTATTGTTGTACTATCCAGGAATAGTACCTTACAGATCTCGGAGCCCTTCTTCGGTCTTCCTGCTAACATGCTTCACAGCACCAACGCCACCTACATATTTAGTAATTCCAGAACACGGGAAGCATACTGCAAATCCCCAACACAAATTGCAATGGTGTGGCCTAACTCACAAAAGCAAAGCATTTACCTCATGAGCTTATGAATAAACTTTGTTATAACAAAAGCATTAAACAATTGCAATGGCATAACAAATGAGACACCAGCAGTGAAGATGGTGAAATTCCACTGCACGTATGTGCAGACCACGGGCTGTGTCACATGGACTCGATCAGAAATCCAGGAGCAGCCACAGAGGCAGACAGACTCCGACCCAGGTTTAGCTGCCCCACCCAGTGCTTTTAACATACTCACCTTTCAAAGCCTTAGGAAAAAAAAAAAATCACATGACGCTAACCTTCGTTCTTATTTAGTCTGAGGTAGAGGAAGTGCCGAAAGCACACAGGCCCTCCTCTGTGGCGTCACAGCCCACGGGACTGAAGTAACTTTTATAGGAAACACGCCTTCTAGACTTACCAAGCACATACTAAAAACCAAAGCAAGAACCTACAAATCAATGGCATGTTAGGACTGCCGGCTGCCGTTCCTGACAGGCAGCAACCATACGGACAAGCCAAGTGCAAACAGGCCTGAAGGTACTCATTATGACACGCCTGCCGTTTGCAGTACAGTAGATTCTTAGAGCGCTTTTGAGGCTTTCTTATCTAGAGCACCAAGATCTAAATATAGATACTTACATTATTGCACTCTCCAAGGAAGTACAGTGCAAATCCGTCGGCTTTTGTGGCTGCCAAGGCAATAAGAAAAAAGAAGGAAGAAACTAATCTCAATGGAAGAATGCAACATCACGGATCCTACAATGAGACTCGAGTACCAGCCTTTGCCTGGATGGGTTAACATAACAGTGTGCCACGTGGCTTTGCCCAACAGCATAATCAGAAGGTTCCCAGCTTTCACCACTGACTGCAGGTATGTTCACAGCATCGTCCAATGCACAAAGTACAGGCTGCACACCTGTTGGACCTTCAATCATCACAGTGACAGAGGGGCACTGAATTTCATTTCTTAAGTATAAAAAAAAAGCCACAAGAATACTGAATAATTAAGCGCCAACCAAAAAATATTATGTAAATATATACATAGCCCTGAAATGAACAGATTTTAACTTACATATGTCTTCCGGATCATCCAAAGGCAATTATCATAACACTCTATGTCCTGGGGGGGTGGGGTGTCACCCAAATTTAAGTTCCCTATAACTCACTTGGGTCTGTGCGTATTTGGGTGGGTAGCTAGCCTAGTTCATCGGAAGCCTCTTGATCAGCAAAACAGTGGGGTCCTAAGCTCACTTTGTGGGGTGACGATAATAATGAGCCAGTCAGCACATGTGGTAGCCTGCAGAGTGCCTGGCACAAGGTGAAGCCACAAGAAACACTGCTGTCCACATGTCCAGGGTGGGTTTTTTTTTTTTTAATTCTCAGATTAAAAACTTGAAAGACTCAGTTTCATAGTGGACAACTGAAAATAGCATGTCCTGAAGGATTCAGCATCCTGTCTACAGTATAAGCCCATTTCTGGCTATCCAAGTGAGTTCAAAGCATGTTTGCCTCCCTTAAAAAACTGACCAGCTTGTCTTCAGAGACAGAACACTAAGCTGGTTGGGCACAGTTGGGGAAGATCTGGGAGGAGTTGGAAGAGGAGGATATACTGTATGGAATTGTCAAAGAATACATTAAAACATTGTTTTAAAAGTCTGGCATCTTCCTTTCCAAAGATGTGATTTAACTCAATACAAAGAAAAGCAGGTGTCGGACCCAGGTGGGAGCCACTGCTTACAGCAGGCAGGCAATTATTTGATCTCTGGTCATTCAGAGATTTGTGGGTTCATTCATTCTGGTAGCTTCACACTCAAATACTTCTGTTACAAGCTGAGCCAAACAACAGAAGGCAGTGAAGAGTCCCACCCCCCACTCCCACCCCCAGCGGGACAAAGGCCTTTTGTACTCTTTGCAAAGTGACCGGACCTGAGAGGGAGTGCAGCGTGCCTTACCTATCCTGATGATGCTGCTCAGCTCGTAGAGGAGCAGGTGGTTGTCCCCTCCGGTGTCCAGGCGCTGCTCTATGTAGCTGTTCAGCTCGTACACAACCCCCTGCATGTTCGTGTCCTGGTACTTTAACACAAAGATAACAGAAGTGAGGCGTGGTTGAAGCACAGTAAAACCCCTGGCATAGAAAGAATGCCGATTCTACAGGTGCAGGCTCTGTTTGGAGTTGCTTGCAGAGCACGGCTAACCGTGTAAGACAGGTAGACTGAAAACTAAACCTGCTATGGCTCCTCATCGAACAGTAATCTTCAAACTGCACCTGTGGCAGCTTATTCACACAAGAACATCACGTGTTATAAATTACAACTTTTACCTGTGACAGCCTAACTGGTCAAAGAGTTCAAAGGATCTCCTGAAGACGGTGTGACATCATACTAGGTGAACTATGACTCCATGGGCTCAGGGTTGGGCAGTGTGCTCTGAGGCTGCAGTCTCGGCTAGGGCACCCTGTCATGCCAGCAGAGAGGATGCACAGGGTGCCCAGTCAGATCACACTGCCCCTCTCTAAGGTGAAGAAACCGAAGCCTCTCACTGCTCTCCCTGCCCCATGCTCACCTCACAAACCCTGTGTTCCAAATAGCCAGCATTGCAAACCAGAAATAAAACAAAATTGGTCTATTCCGGGCTGGAGAGATGGCTCAGAGGTTAAGAGCACCGGCTGCTCTTTCAGAGGCCCTGAGTTCAATTCCCAGCAACCACATGGTGGCTCACAACCATCCATTATGAGATCTGGTGCCCTCTTCTGGTGTGCAGATATACGTGGAAGCAGAATGTTGTATACATAATAAATAAATAAATAAATAAATAAATAAATAAATAAATAAATAAATAAATAGAATCTTTAAAAAAAAATCCATCTATTCCTCAGCTGAAAACCTTCCTGGGCTTCCCAGCTTACTAGGGAAATAGACCAGCACCTCCAGCAAGCACTGCTACTGTCCACCAGGGACACTGCCTCTCCAGTCCCTATCCCTGCACAATCAAGGTCTCAACTTTGACACCTCTCTCTTTCTGGGCTGCTTATGCATCTTTCATTCCAAAGATCTTCTACTTGTGGCACAAATGTTATGTGTAAAACCTGTCTGTGTACTGAGCCGGGGACTCTGTCAGTCGGTCACCCGACACCACAAGGCATGTCTACAATAGGTCCCTCTTCAGCTCACACTCTAATGGAAAGGTGTAGGTGGCCAGGAGTTAAGTCCATCTTTCCCAAGTGCAAAGCAGAGAGGACACAGTGAGTCCCCCAGCTGGACCACTTGGGTCACGGGTGCTTAGTGAGCCCCGGGGCCTACCCTGATTACCACAGGAAAATGCAGGGCTGGTGAGCCACAGTGTGCAACTATAGCGGCCTGGCTGCCACCTCAAGCCATGGCTTAGGGCTCTCACTAAGAACCAGGCTATGTAAAGAGCCTGTACTTGCAGTGAGCCAGGAACAAACACGAAGACTTCCTTCATCTGACTACGTCCCCTGAAACCACTTACAAGTTAAACCTCAGGGTGGCAGGAGGCCAAGTGGCTATATTCGGTGTCCAGAGATGAATAGAGTAGTATTAGCACAATGGACTAAATCAAAGCTGCCACCAGCAAGGCCCCATCTGCAAAGGACTGACGTCTGGCCAGATGACTGGGTGTTCCTGCCTATCAACAAACAGGGCAGCCCTCTGACATGCTTTCATGTCTCTAACCAGAAAGTTCTGAGTGAGAAAGAGAGAGAGCGAGCAGAAATACGACCTGATCACCATGGCAGACTTGCCAATGAATTGTCAGGGGAAGAAACCAGTTCATAGGCTTGAACCTTTTAAATCAAGAATGGGAGGCCAGGCCCAGGGGAACAAGGACATTGCTATACAACCAACAATACATAAAGCAGACTTCCTTCCTCCTTCCCCACAAGCCTGCAGCTCCCTACCTCAATAACTGTGCAAGAAGTTACCCAAACTGGAGGACCACTGAACATCACCTCCTCCTTGACCACTGGCCACCAGACCATGCCTGTGACGAATTGTTGCTGGATTCTGTCTCAGGAACAGATTGCTATCACACCCCATCTATCGTCCAGATTGAGACTCTTCCAGACTCCCACTACAAAGGGGCACCAGTATGGTGACAGAATCTGCATAGGAGTCCAAGCAGTTCAAATCTTGATGCTCCCAGAACAGCACTGAGCAGGTAACAGCCTGGGGAGCATCCTCTGGAAATCGCTCTGGAGGATGCTATAGCATAATCTACTGTCACAAATGCCCTTCCCGGCCCAACCGCTAACCAGAATGCTGGCTCTGAAGTCTCCCCGAGTGCTGGGAACGCACTTCTCTGAGACGTACACTGACCTGGAGAAAGCTGAGTGGAGAGAGTGACCATGTCAAAAGCCCTACTACACATCCTGGGTTCATTTATTTTGTGGGGTGTGTGTGTGTGTCTGTGTGTGTGCGAGAGAGAGAGAGAGAGAGAGTGTGTGTGTGTGTGTGTGTGTGTGTGTGTGTGTGTGTGTGTGTGTGTATGTGTGTGTGTGTGTGTGAATTCTGCAAACTGACCCCCTGAGCCTCACATTTGCCAGAGCTAAACTGAACTAAATCCCTGGCCTTCAGATGTTTCTCTTCCATGAACACACACATTTGTGTGTGTGTGTGTGTGTGTGTGTGTGTGTGTGTGTGTCTTGGGGGCAGAGGGAGAATCAACACATGGACAAATGAGTAGCTGAGCCCTGGTACAAATGGCTTCCCAGCAAGTCCTTCACAGCCTGGCAACAACCTTTGATCACAGTCTTTGCCCTACTGAGGTCAGCACCCAGCAGCTTTCCATCTCTTCTGGACAAGAATCAGTTATCATAGACCACACACACACACACACACACACACACACACACGTATCCTGTGACGGGGATGAAATACTTATTGTGGAATGTTATCTCTGGGCTCTGAGTTTCTCATCTGTGTGACAGACAGACAAACTAGATACCTTGTGACTCAGAGCAAAGGGAGTCAGGTACTGTATAGTTTCCCAAAGCTTGGGATGAGAGTGGACACCCTCACCTTCAGTTCCTGTCCATGCTGATCTCTTGTGGAAGAAAGAGTCTTTAGCAGTATAACCCACTGAACACAGAGCTTCACAGAGAGGGCAATGACAGAAAACTAAACCCAAAGTCTGTCAAGTTCTATCCAACCGATGCTATGGTGAAGCCTCACTGTGTCCTCAGCCATCACTAAGAGCCCACTGTGGTGCCTTGGGGAAACTGTGACTTGTCTACAGTGTGGACACTGAACACACTTCCTCAGGCGGCATAGTAAGCACTTTACATGCTGAGCTATGTCTCTGGCTCAGTTTAGGCATTTTAAAGTAAGCAATGCTATAAATAAAGACTTTATTTTATTTTGGTCACACAGACACCATAAGCTGAAGAATCCTAATGTCTCTACAACAGAGCACTAGCAGTGAACAACCAACAAAGTCCACAGAGGCAAAGGCACACTGGTAGCTTGGGGTGAGGGACTGGCTTCCAGCAGCCATTATGTTAAACTTGGTGATAAGTACTTGCCTAACATCTGCAAGACCCAGGGATCCACCTTCAACACCTCTGGAAAATAGGTAAGAACAGCAATGGCTACAGGCACAGGAGGTTTACCTTAGAGCTATGGGAAGGGGGAAAGGCCCAACCAGTCTGAGGAATGTTATACTCTCTGTGAAGAGGCAGACATGTAGAGAAAGCTAGAGAAGATGGGAGACAGAGTGGAGGGATGACCTGCAGGGCACCTGCTCAGGAGTAAGCACAGCATCCTCCATCGTGTCAGGCACCACCCTAGGGATTCACACTGAGGTGGGCAATCAGGCAGGATCCCATAAACAGGCAGGGTTTGCTTCTGAAAACATATCGTCAACTTAATGCAAAGAAATAGAAATAATAAAAGCTCATAGTAATGAAGAATATTGGGTTCAAGGGCTTGATAAGGAATATGACAGGGTGCAAAGGGCCATTTGAATAATGATTTAGGAAAGGGAGAATGGTGTACTTAGTCATGAACCATGATTAGCTCCAGGAGTCCTCCTGAAGAAAGGGAGGTGGGATTATGCGAGCCAGGGGGATCAAGGTCATGAAGAGGAACCCACAAAGACAGCTGACCTGAGCTCCTGGTGGGAGCACATGGACTCTGGATCAACAATTAGGGAGCCTGCATGGGTCCCACCTAGGCCCTCTGCACGTGTGTGACAGTTGTGTGGCTTGGTTTGTTTCTAAGAATCCTAGCAGTGAGATCAGGACCTGTCCCAGGCACCTAGCTGGCTTTTGGGAACCTGCTCCCCATGCTGGGTTACCTTGCCCAGCTTTTTTGCAGGGGTGGGGGAGCTCTCTAGTAAAGTCAACTTGATGCGGCATGCTTTGTTCAAGCCCATGGGAGGCCTGCCCCTTTCTGAATGCAGAGGAAGAGAGAATGGGGAGGGGGCTGGATGTGAGTGTGTGGAATGGGGATGGGAGGAGAGGAGGGGGGGAACTGTGGTTGGTATGTAAAATAAATGAAAATCTTTTATTAAATGAAATAAAATTTTAAAAAAAGAAAAAGAAAATTGCTGTGGAGGAAAGGTAATGAGAACACAAGGAGATGATGTAGTGGAAGTGCTGGGCCCAGCATATGGGCGTCTGGGTGTCTGGGTCCCTGGGAATTAAAGGTTCTCATCGGTGTGCAAGCACACCAGTGTGCAAGCAAAGCTTTGGCTCTCCGCAGGTTCAAGTTCTTGTTGGGGGGAATTAATAAGAAAACATGAGCGAATAGTCCGTCTTTGACCAAAAAAAATCAAACACCTTGTTGAGAATCTTCGACAGAAGAACAACAGTTGGATCTATCAAGGGACACTATTTCTAGGTATTTTCTTTTTTTAATTTTTATATAACAAATTAAATCTTAGGCAAAAAAGAAAAAGAAATTGTTGAAAATTCTGCCCCAATCCCAGGGTAAATTCACTTAATATTCCCTCCCCCCAAAAACACAAGCCAGAAACTCAGCATCAATTTTAAAAGTCAAACATTCTCACACACTCCTTCCGGAGATAAGCTGATTTGATGTTTAACTCGAAAAGCA